TCTATATATATTAAACCTACACCTGGGTCACAAGTCCCAGTCACTGTTGAAGCTCCTCTCACTACAACGATGGACCCGACACACGCACCGTGAATACATGGAATGATGAGAGGTTTCGTCTCTCTATATATATTAAACCTACACCTGGGTCACAAGTCCCAGTCACTGTTGAAGCTCCTCTCACTACAACGATGGACCCGACACACGCACCGTGAATACATGGAATGATGAGAGGTTTCGTCTCTCTATATATATTAAACCTACACCTGGGTCACAAGTCCCAGTCACTGTTGAAGCTCCTCTCACTACAACGATGGACCCGACACACGCACCGTGAATACATGGAATGATGAGAGGTTTCGTGTCATAATGATAATAGGAAAACCCATCTATTACTAAAGATATCTTCATTTTAAAATATTACTAAGAATTCTCTTAAATAAGGAAAATGACATTTTTTTGTTATGACATTAAATTGATGTACAGATATTTTAACAGGAAAACGTTTTAAGTAACTTGTGATAATTCAAAGAATTATAACAAAAACCATTGATTTTTATTCCCTACTAATATTATAAATGCGAAAGTAACTCTGTTTGTCAGTCTGTTATGCTTTCACGAGTAAACCACTGAACTGATTTTAATGAAATTTGGTACAGACAGAGTTGACCTCGAGAAAGAACATAGGATAGTTTTTATCCCAGACTTTTGAAAGGTTCTCTTGGAAACGCGATATAACCGAACTCCACGCGGGCGAAGCTGTGGGTGGAGAACTAGTTAATTATAAAACTTATAAAATAAGTTATTTCGTTTGAAAACAATTTGTTGTGATTATACTTTGAACTAATTCTTTATAATTGATCTATATGTAATCTTTTTCTCATTTAAAGTTATTGAAAGTTGAACATAATCATATTAGTTCCTGTATTTTTGACAGCTTATAATGGCGCCTTTTGTTCCCTTTTTCCACTCATCTTGTGAACTATTGTAAAACTTTATTTTGCTAATTAAAACTATAAGTCATGTTGTAAATATTTTTTAATTCATAAATTCCTACAAAAGTTACATCTATATAGGGTCAGCAATAATATTTATATGCAAAAGTATTTTTTTTCTTACCACGAGTCTACACTACATACTAATAGTTTCCCGTTTCTCATTCAATACTACGTTAATACTATACAAGATTTATGAAGGAAATACTGTTGACGTGGAGTATGTAGTGACGAACTTGTGGTAATTATACTGAATGCTAGATCATAATCAATTAAAATCTTTATTTAGATAGATGAAGATTCGGGAAGATATGGTTTAAGTCTTCATTATTACCACAATAATATATATAGCGAAAACATAAGAAATACCAAAAAGTTGTTTTTTATATAATAATAAAAGGACAAATTATATTGTAATTCAATAATAATATTATTAAAATATTATTATGAGTTTTTATTATTTTAAATAACATACTCCCGACGGATTTTTTTAAATATCGTCTTCGTGATTTTGGTTGCTGCAAATTAACTGAAACGTAGTTAAAATAACAAAATACGCTTGGTTAAGTAAATAATCCGAATAATCTTCTACCTGGCAATTTCCCAGCTATAGCCAGGGTCTGCCTTACATGTTGTGAATAGTTGTGGCTATTTGTTTTTACGATTCGCCTGCCTAACATCAAGCCTTTTTTGAATAGTATTAGTTTCATTTAAATGAATACTAAAGTATTAGATCTCATTTAGTATAAAGATAAACTTCGGTTTGGAAGATACAGTAAAAACTATTTTTTTATTATTTTTTATTTAAAATATTGTAAGCTTTTTCTTTTATTAAATTAAATTATATTTAAGAGATTTTTTTTTTGTATATTATGTCTGTCATAAATTTACTCGATATAAAAAACGAAATAGATTATCATATACAAATAGAATTTTTGAAATATTATTTGTAAGATAAAAAGTACAAAAAGAGTATATGTGTCTCTGTGGTCATTAAAGTAAAATCTAAAAAAAAGGATACTATAGAATAGAGGTTCCAAAATAATATTTAGATGAAGGAGGTTTGGATGAAGATTGGTGGAGAGATAAATTAGAACAAGAAAACGGACATAATAGTTTTGAAATCGTTCAACCAAATAAAATTGTTTATAAAATCCAAAATCCGTTAATTGATTGCCTCCAAATCGACATAGCTCGTCAATCAGTTATATATTTCTAATTATGAAACTATCGCGGACAAAGTCGCTAGCAAAGCTAGTATTACATAAAATACATTCAAACTAACGAAATAGTTAGTAAATTCTCAAAAATTTTATTGTTTCATTACATCTACATCTCCGTTGATACAATATGGATGCACGCGGAAGCTCAAATTAAATTTTAACCACACTCAATGTTCTTTTAATTAAAGATATGTTTCTCCAAAAAAGCGTAATAAAAACCATTCTACCAACATTCAGATATTTAACAACAAAAATATTTAATATGTCACTATAGTTCAAGATATGTGAGAAAATTTAAAAAAAACAGCTACTGTCTAATATAAGTCATATTGAAAAACAAAAAGGTTTAATATGTAATTATTAATTTAAAAAAAAGTAATAAGAACAGCCAGTGTTTAACATAAGTCGTATTGAAAAGCAAAAAGATTTAATACGTACATAATTATGTATTTAATTTTAAAAAAGTAATAAACCAGCCAGTGTGTCTAACATAAGTCGTATTGAAAAGCAAAAAGGTTTAATATGTGAAGCTTATTTAAAAAAAAAATGAGCCAGTGTTTAACGTAAGTCGTATTGAAAAACGAAAAGGTTTAATATGTAATTATTAATTTAAAAAAAAAGTAAAAAACCAGCCAGTGTCTAACATTATGTACGTCAAGACCATAAAGGTTGTATATAGGTATTTCCCGCTAAGACTCCGGAGTTTTTTCCCTCCGTCAGGATTTTCCCTCACTCAATCAACGAAACTCGTTTTATTTTACGCGGACCTTAATCGATTGCGAAATAAATTATTCTTCAATTCAACCGTATCATTACATCTGCTCTTTAAAATGGTTTGTGTTTAAGCGAATTGTTTTTTTCTGTATGCACTTAAAACTAATTAAACTTCCTCGATTTTTTTTTCTCATATTATTCACAAGGTTATTCAAAATGGATCCAATTATGCATCTATTGTTGTACGATCTAGCTTTTAAAACGTATTCTTAGTTATTTTTCAGAAGCATATAAAAAAAACAACACTTGAGATTTATTGTAACCTTTTTCATTGAGATCGTATAGTAAAGATCACATTCTTATTACAAAATTAAAAAATAAATTTCATCAGCCACAGTCACTATCGTTTTTTATATTTAAATTTAAGAAACATCACTTCCACAAGTAGTAAAACCTTTTTCTTAAATAAATAATAGTGAAAACAATTAAAAATATATCATTACTCACAATTTCCATCCGATCCAGATCCTGGACCTTGCAAATGAACCAGCGGCACACACACACAGAACACAATCAAAACATTTAATTTAAACATTTCTTATAAATAAATATCACATTAAATCCTCTTTACTGACTAAACTTTTTAGTTGTCAATTTCTATATATGTCAAAGTTCGCGCGCTCTTTTTTTCTTTTTTTTTTTTAATTCGTCGCTGTCAAATCTCCGCGCCTCTCTGCCGGCCCCTCAATGCCAGTCGCGCGCGGCACACACTGATGCGTCAAGGCGACTCAGTATTATAATATATATGAGCCAACCCATTTCAAAATACCTGTTTTAATATTTTTCCTTGTCTTATGCTAGAGGTGGGAAAATGAATTTATTTTTTGTCACGTCACGTGAGTTTTAAAAATATTGTGTTCATATTAATTTAAAAGAAAGTTTGATTATTGAAACTATATTTTAATGGGTGTAATGAAATAATTTTATGTTTACGTAACTCAAGTTTATTACGAAAGCAACTGAAATGCAAATGTAGGCTTGGTTTAGTTTCAAATTCAAACATTTTTTGATAGATTATATTTTATATGGATTTCTAAAGCGTTGAATATTTCAAAATTTACATATTTTATTTATAAATGACGTCAATCAGATATAATTTTAATAAAAAACATACAAATTATACTATTCACTTTAAAAACAAAATTATGTCTGGAGTTTTATAGTTAAGATATTTCAAGTTCATTTTGTTTACACACAAAAGTACTTTACGATGTTTTTCAAGCAATTATAAAGTAACGAATCGAGTTGTGATTGAGTTATAAAAGACGATGATGATAATTAATTTTACTACAAGATTTATGAAACAAACTAAATATGAAGATTCGGTAGTTTTTACTAATAAATTTTCGTACAATGCCCTCGAAGTAGGGCAAATAAATAAACCTACACCTGGGTCACAAGTCCCAGTCACTGTTGAAGCTCCTCTCACTACAACGATGGACCCGACACACGCACCGTGAATACATTGAATGATGAGAGGTTTCGTCTCTCTATATATATTAAACCTACACCTGGGTCACAAGGCCCAGTCACTGTTGAAGCTCCTCTCACTACAACGATGGACCCGACACACGCACCGTGCATACATGGAATGATGAGAAGTTTCGTCTCTCTATTTATAAGTAAAACTAATATTTTCGGATTTACTACGCGTTTTTTATTATGTTTTGGGACTTTCACATTTCATCTGCCCGTGATCACGGTTGTAAAGTAACCTAAACTTCTGGACTGTGTAGTTAAAATAATAAATAACGCGTAGTGATCCAATAATATTAGATTAATTTCTATGGATACTCCAATTCTAAAAACTCATTATAGATTACATAAATATTGGATGTATATATGGATACTGACTTATAAAATCATTTGATTAAAAAAAAATAACTGTCACTTTCATACATATCCTGTGTTACAATTAAACAAAATAAAAGTCTTAAAACATCACAAATGTATATTTATATAGAAAAATTATTTAAATACACAATTGTATACAATATTCATGTTTTTTTTATACCATAGGTTCGTGTTCCATAGAATAATAACTTTTATAACTGCTAAGTGACGCGACGCTAGTGTCGGGATTTCTGTTAGTGTCAATACTTTTCCCGCTATTTTCATTCACGCTATTTTCATTCGTTCTTTCTGTTAAAATCATTCGTTCATCTTGTATATTATCTTTTATTTTCTCATTTCTATTATTTTCGTTATTTTTTATATCAATATTTCCCAAATTTAATGTTGAATCAACGCCGACCATTTTGTGGTTCACCGGTACGTAGTAACTAGTTATTCTGTTTACGGAAGTGATGTCAGTCATTTTGTTCTGTTTTCGTTTCGTTTTGTATTTATTTTTACGTAAGCTTTTGATTTCGATATATTTTTTCTTATTTCTGTTAATTCTATTTCTTTGTGCTGGTTTTTTGTATTTCTTTTTGATGTCTTTCAAACATTTTTCGACGCACGCCTCGCAGTTCGCGCAGAAGAATTCTCCCGAAGCTTTCCTTTTCATATTAGTCACCTGGTAACAAAAAAAGGAATGAAATAATGAAAAAAATACCGCCAAAATTGCTATGGGTCATATTATTGTGGTAACCAATGTCTTCCTGGCAATTTCCCAGCTATAGCCAGGGTCTGCGTTACATGATGAGAATAGTTTTTTTTTTTTTGGCTATTTGTTTTTACGACCGGCCGCTTGCCTGACATCAACCCTCTTTTTTGGGAATCAACATTAATCAGTGATGTCTAAATATTCTTAGAAGTACATATGATTCGGAAAAATCACATTGGTACTTGCCCGGGCCAGGATCGAACTCGCGCCCTCATGCATGAGAGGCGGGCCTTTTAACCACTAGGCCACCACTGACTTACCTATATATAATGATCCAACCTTTAATATAGATCGCCTTTTATCCAGTTCGTTCCTCAACCTCGGATAGGTCATATTATGCTGGTTGACCCTGTCCACGTGATCCTCACTCATCCTGCCACGAGCTTCATATTCCGCTTGATGCGCGTCCCAGAATTGGTCAACACAGTTGCGATTTTTCTAGAAAAAATATCATTTTTAAAACGATGTTTTTACAAATAAAACAATTTTGAGAAATTACTTGATTTTTTGAAGTAAATAATATAGTTTAAACCTTCTTTCTGATATGATGGTAATCCCTAGTAATATTATAAATGCGAAAGTAACTCTGTCTGTCTGTCTGTTACGCTTTCATGCCTAAACCACTGAACTGATTTTAATGAAATTTGGTACAGAGATAGAGTTGACCTTGAGAAAGAACATAGGATAGTTTTTATCTCAGACTTTTGAAAGGTTCTATTGGAAACGCGATATAACCGAACTCCACGCGGGCGAAGCTGCGGGCGGAAAGCTAGTATAGAATAAAAACTACTTTGAGACAACCTTCTTTTGATATGATGGTTAAATAATACATTATATGAATATGTGAGGGTAGGAGAGGGGGGAATGATATATAGGGTGACTGGTGAATTACTATCAATATTTAAGGAGAATACTCGGTACATGATTCTCATTCGAATTATGTAAAAAAAAATAGGTACTTAATTTTTGACCAAATTTCCGTATAAATAAATAAAGTGTGTACACGTTCCAAGTGTTCCAAGTGTGGACGCGTGCGGCGGCGTGCTGATACAACACTACGCTGCCGCGCGCGAGTGTGTGTGCGTGTGTGTATACCTAATCTGTAGGGTGTGCACACGACGCGTAATTAATTACATAACTTTTGGTTAACTTTACGTAGAAGTTTATTAATATTTATGTTATATTAATTTTTATTTTGTCATATATGATCGTCAAATATCACGTCCTCAAATATTGATAGTAATTCACCAGTCACCCTGTATAAGCAGTTGTCAAGTAATCGGGACTCTCTTTCGTAAAGCGTTAGTGTGAAGCGTTATTGATCAATTATAGTTTTTCTGTGTTTAAATCTCGTTTGTATTATATACAGATTTAATTTTAAGATAAGTTTAAATCAATACATTTGAAATACTTCTTAATATTATTATAAATTTTGCATACATTTTATTAATAGTGTCGAAATTGTGTCATATTATTTTCAAAGACAATTCCGTTCTTATTTTTATGAATATTGAATTGATAACGACACAATGGCTCAGTTAGTAAAACAAATGAAACGACATTAAGGTGGTCGCCGGTTCAAATCCTGACGTGTCAATGAATATTCAGTCTATATATTTTATCTGGAAAATAATTCAAATCTAATTATGATGTTGATATTAAACTTATTAATATTAAAATTCTTTCGAAAACTGGTTTAATATATAGCAAAAAAATATATCAGATAATTAAAGGTGCGCCAAGAATTTAGATAATTGATTAAGTATTTTAATAAACTGCTTCATTACTAATAATTTTATAATTCTTCCCAATATCAAAACTTCAAGCACGAAAGTAACTTTTATTCATCAATTAATTAAATAGATTATTTCGTATCTTTCATGCTAAATCAAGTCAGTCCTAGAAGTTCTTTTCAAATTTGGTAGAGAGAGGAGCTTTTACGGTGGAGGTGAGCGTTTAACGTTAGATAGGGTCTTAAACCTACACCTGGGTCACAAGTCCCAGTAACTGTTGAAGCTCCTCTCACTACAACGATGGACCCGACACACGCATCGTGAATACATGGAATGATGAGAGGTTTCGTCTCTCTATATATATTAAACCTACACCTGGGTCACAAGTCCCAGTAACTGTTGAAGCTCCTCTCACTACAACGATGGACCTGACACACGCATATAAATACATGGAATGATGAATTTCGTCTCAGAATTCGTTAAATGAGGTCAACAAAAGATTATTTTTATATTAATCGACAAAACCATGGCAAGTGCTAATTTCTACTCTAACCAATAAGAGTTCTGGGTACTGAATTTTATCATCGTTGCAACAAACTAAATACTAAGGGTTAGTAGTTTCTCACTAATAAATATTAGCAGAATACTTTCGAAGTAGCTTATATAAGTAAAACTGATATTTTCAGATTTAATACGCGTTTTTGTTATGTTTTGAGACAAAAAACGCCTAGCATCCGAAAAACTTAGTTTCGTTTAAATGCAGATTGCAGACGAAAGGCTATTTGATAAGGTATAAACTAACTGGAAATAGGACTTTGATATTGAAGATTTTACAGTCTTTGAACTATAATTAAACTAAGTTCTTCCTATACTACGTATTTTTATTATTTTATATCTACATACACCCGACTTTTCAGTTTCTTTACAGCAACCGTGATCACGAAGATTTGTATCAAGACACATCGGGATAGTAATATAAAATAAAAACGCGTAGTATCAGAAAAACTTAGTTTCATTTAAATGAGTACACACAAATCTTAAATATCATTAAAACTTCGAACAATTGGGAGTAACGGAAAGACAGTAATTGGTTTGAGTAAAAAGGACTATGATTAAAGAAAATAAACTTTTCTTTAGTTTAAGTTATTGAAATGAAAATTCTATCTTGGTCTTCTCTAAGATTATGCTGTGATATATGAGATGAAATGTGTCCACTAATCTATCGCCTATCTATCATCTATCTATCTACATATCTATCATCTATATATCTACTATAGAGCCAGTACCTCTGTCGCCTTCAAATTCTTCATGGGCTTGGGCCCTTCGTCCATTATGTCCAGCACAATGTCCAAGATGCTTCGAGAAGAATTTTGGAGTGGCATTACAGTTGACCTGTGTTGAAAACTTTATTATTATTTAGATATTATCTTATATTAGCTGTTCCCCGCGGTGTTGCCCCGGATTTCCGGGTTTTAAAGTAGCCTATGTGTTATTCCTGGACGTCAGCTTCCTGTATACAAAATTTTATCAAAATCGGTTACGCCGTTTGAGCGTGAAGAAGTAACAATCATACACACGCACTCACAAACTTTCGCAATTATAATATTAGTAGGATTTTGTTGCGCAAAATAGGGTCTTATATATGTATGCTTAAAGATCGAAAACTCTTAGTGAGTGAGAAAATAGCTCACAACGCGTTCTCATCATCAGCCTATCAGAGCCCACTGATAAAAGGCCTCTTCTCACATGGAGAAGGTTTGAGCATTAATCACCACGCTTGCTCAAGATGGGTTGGCGATTTCAGACTTATACATATTTTGATATTATAAGTCTAGGTTTCCTCACGATGTTTTCGTTCAAACTTATAATTTGATATTATAAATTCAGGTTTCCTCACGATGTTTTTTCACCGTGTGTCAGTGGTGTCTAAATACTCTTATAAACTACATACGACTCGGAGAAATCACATTGGTACTAGCCAGGATTCGAACCCGCGCTCTCATGTACGAGAGGCGAGCCTTTAATTCTTAATTCTGGATAGAGAAAAATCTCCACATCGCGAAATTCGTGTTATGGTTCTAATGAAAAAATTACGCGTTGTGTCAATCACAGAAAGACAAAATGGTGAAATTCGTGTTGTGGCTGCTATGCTAATATTAGAGCATTGTAAAAAGGCTTTAGCTAGAAACCTGTAGTTGGCAGAAAATTGCAGTATCCAGGAATATTGTATGTTATAAGCCTTCTATAGACTTTATAGTTCACGGGCAGACGAGATGAGAATTAAGAATGCTGAAATAATCACGGTAGCTGAAAAGTTACCGAAACGTCGGGAGTATGTAATTGAAAAAAAAAATACGAGTCGTAATATGAAAAATATTAGTTTCATTTAAATGAATACTCGCGAGTTTTAGATCTCATTAAGATTTTACAGACACGAAATATAAATACAATTAATATTGGAGATAGACCATAACACTTATTTGAAATAGAAAATAATGTCTCATTATTTCGCTAACGCTTTTGACATTAAGTATATAATTAACTTACAATTTAATTAAAATATATAAGAACATTCTTTTTGTGATATAGGTATAGCTATTTTTCTATTGATAATTAATTAATAAAAAAACATTGGATCAATGTCGTAAATTTTTTTTAAATTATGTCCTATACAAATTTGTTTAATTTTCATTACTTTATCTTTGCCTTATAAAGATCAATTGACCAAATTATTTAATGTTCGTAACAATACAATAATTATAACGAATCATAATATTTTAGTATATCTATTATAGTAATATGTCATTAGGTATAACAAATATAGAAAATTTATTTTTCATAATTAGGTACTATTAAATTTTCTCTACTATTGATGAAACCTATGCCACCTTTTGTCCCAATTTCGCAAGCTAAAAGTGATTCTAATACAAATCTCAAAATCGATCAAGAAGTAATATGACTGAATACAACTGTCACAAAATTTTCCGCGTGAATTACTAAAAATATATATGTACATATAACATATGTATATAAATCGTTTTACGTATGCCTTATTAATGTTATAGTTTCATCAGAATTCAATCAGTAACTTGGTAGAGTAGCAAATTTGGACCCAAACGTTCTGTTCTCTTCCATGCATTTACTCACTCAATAATAGTTAATCCATTGATATAAGCAGGATTAAATTCTGAGACCTCCAGGATCTTCTGTCCTAGATGCTATGTTAATCATGCTATTTTGCTGACTTCAGTTGTTAAATCAAGAATTATATATATTAAATCATCATATTGTTATTATAGTAAGTAGTCAGTAGTGGCCTAGTGGTTATAGGCCCCCCTCTCATGCATGAAGACGCGGATTTGATCCTGGCCCTGGCAAGTACCAATGTGATTTTTCCGAGTCATATGTACTTTATGAAGGATTTGGACATCATTGATTAATGCTGATTCCCAAAGAGGGTTGATGTCAATTGTCAGGCAGGCGGCCGGTCGTAAAAACAATTAGCCAAAACTATTCACAACATGAAAGGCAGACCCTGGCTAAAGCTGGGAAATGGCCAGGTAGAAGAAGAAAATTGTAGTCATAGTAAATTCCATACAAATGTTCATTATCTTATATAGCTGCCATACTTTATGACGGAACAACTTAATTTTCACAAAGCTTAGGGCTAATTGTATGTGGAATATTGCTTTTAGATCTAGGCAGATGCTGCAAAATATCACCTCACTGGCTAGGAATCCGTGGAGACATGCAAAAAGGCTTATTCATGACTACCTTAAGCACAAATGAAAAATAACCATCGGCTCAGTTCAGTATAGGATAGAATTTATGAAGATTGTGACTAGAATTGCAAATTTTAAATGTGTGCATCTCTTTTTTATTATTTGATGACCAGATGCATGGTGGAGCTACATTTTAGAACATCTTGACATCAAAGTCATGTGATTTTTCCTTCCTTAAGTAGACAGCAAAGATTGAAATACAGTTTTCCTAAGTTAGTGTTTCCTTTGAGTTATAATTATAGTGTCTTTAGGTAAATGGTGAATAGGTTGTTAGTGAGATAGTATTTTCTCTACCTATGACTTAGTTCTACTATACTTATACTAGTTTTTGGACGCGACTTCGTCTGCGTTAGTTTCAGAATCAGAAATGTATACCTGATCTGGCAAACTCTATTTTTCCTTAAAGACAGTAGATAACAATATTATGGATTTGATCAATTTATTTATTTGTTCAATCGGATGAAAAGTATCCTATGCCCTTTCCCTTCCCTTGATCGAACAGAATTAAATATCCTATGTCTGTCTCCTGGTTCTACGCTATCTCTTCACCAATTTCCAGCCATATCCGTACAGATGTTCTTGAGTTATAAATAGTGTAACTAACACAACTTTCTTTTATAAATAGAGACTAATAACATATTTTAAGTTTTAATTTCTATAAGTTTAAGTTACTATGAGCTCAGAATCGATTTATGTATTTGAAATTTTATAAAATATTATTAGTTACAGACCCAGTTTTGGACTGTGGACATCATTTCAACTCGAGTAACTAAATATAATATTTTCTGGCTTCATGGAGTACAGTTAAGTTGAACCTTTTTACAGAATTTGCTGTAATAATAATGGCTTTATTAACTTGTTTAACGATATTTGAGTACAAAATATTTTTCAATAGAAATTGAAATATGCTTGAATGCTCTAAAAAAAATTGAAGTACAGACTTTTCAAATGAATCAAGTAACTTCTCTGTGTAATATGTACACTATTATATATTTCTCTTTTTTTTACTATTTTTTGCCTTAATTTAATTTCAAAAATTTATGTTTAATACTTATATTCTACTAAATATTACATAAAACTTACCTTTGCTATTTTTCCAATATTTTTGCATTGATATAAATGTAAAATTAATTTGCCATATTTGATTGTGTATTTGTAATTTTGTTTTTTGACAATTGTATGACAGAAATGTATATTTTACAAGTAATATAAATGCAGATTATACTTAAATTATTTATCTATCTATATATCTATATATATATAAAAGAAAGTTGTGTTAGTTACACTATTTATAACTCAAGAACGTCTGTACGGGTTTAAATGAAAATTGGTGGAGAGTTAGATTAGAACAAGGAGACAGACATAGGATATTTAATACTGTTTGATCAAAACAGAAAAAATGAATACTTAATAAATTCCAATATCTGGTTATTTATGGCCTCTAGGTCGGAATAAAATTCAACTGTTCAGCTATATATTACTACTAATGCTGAAATTAATGGAGTTGCAGACAAAAACCAGTATATTATATAATCTCATAGATATTTTAATATATATTCATGAAATTAGTAAAAAAATTTAGTTAAAATTGTTGTATGGAAACTTCTATCACTTATTTTTTCTTTTGCAGAGTATATTCAAATAATAAGTCTAAATTAATCAACTCATTTATACCCAGTTATATAACTTAAGAAAGTTAAATTATTATTTATTAGTGATTTTGCAAGAGTATTATAACTTATGCAGTTGGCAAAATTATTTAAAAAACTAAACTTAAGCATCCAAGTCAAAAGCATTATGGGACATATTTTTAAATAGATAATTTAATGTAGCATTACGTACCATTTAAACTAATTCCTTTATGATATGAACTATCAAGACACATGAACACTTAAAAAATAACACTTGTTTTGAAATAAAACGCTCGTTGGTATTACAAATATATAATCACAATAATGACTTAATAGCTAAAGAAAACTGGAAATTATCGACGACCTCGGCCTCTGCCGCCTCTCCCGCCTCTAGGACCTCCGCGGCCGCCTCTGCCTCTTCCTCTACCACCTCTTGTAGCGCCTCTGGCGAAACCTTCCCGTTTTCCCTTCCCTTTAGGCGCATCATCTATTAACAAAGTCTCTAAAGGTAGACTGTCTGGCAGTAAGAAATATCTTATATTATTCCCGCGTATACTTAGAGTTTCTAACTGTAGTTCCTCTTTGTTTTTCAAAGTTACTTTAACAGCTTTTAAATGTGTGTTCATAGCTACATCGACGCCGGTGATTGTACCGTGAACAACACTACCGTTTTTAAGCTCGATAGTCACAGTCTCATGACTCAATTTCATCAAAAACCTCACTAGCTTCATGTTTACTGTAATATATATTAAGTAAAAGTTATATTAAGTTTTATTTAACCTCAAATTGCGTCCAAACAAGATATGGCGCTTGGCGGCTAATGTGTGTTGCTATATACAAAAATTTATATGATAATTATTTATATCTGATAATATATGTAAAAATCTTTAAATACTGTCAGCTTCTAAAAATAATTCTTAAAATATAAAAAAATTATATAAATCTATCATTTTTATTATATTCTTAGAGTAAAGTAAAGAAATGCACGAAGAAGAAGTACTTGAAGAAGCAGAAATAGATATTGAATTAGAGGAAGAAAAACCAGAAAAAACAGTGTGTGCTAGATTGATATTTGATGATGAACAGGTAAAATGTTTTTTTTATATCGTAATAGGTATTTAAAATCTCAATCACGATGGCTTGTTTGGTCGATAAATATAAAGTGTAAACAACATAGTATTGTTGCTTAAAATATAATGGACGCATTAACCGCTGATTTATCTGTGACCGCTGAGTTTTCTGAAAAAGAAATCGAGGATTTAAAGAAAAATATCGAACCTAAATCAGTGTATGCTCGATTAATACTAACAGATGAACAGGTTCCATTATAATTATTTCAGCATATTCATAATTTAAATTAAATAAAATTTAAATATTTACTGTTTTTTGCTTTGATTTTGCAGAAAAATGACCTCCAACAGGCATTTGATCTTCTAGATTACAATGGAGAAGGCAAAATCAGGGCTGAAGATTTTCGGGTTGCCATAAAGGCATTAGGTAAGAAAAATATTTATTCCTCGAATATGAGACGAAACTGCTCTGAAACAATGGAATAATAAGTCATTCAATGTATTCACGGTGCGTGTGTCGTGTCCATCGTTGTAGTGAGAGGAACTTCAACAGTGACTGGGACTTGTGACCCAGGTGTAGGTTTAAGGGACCCTATCTAACGCGGGTTAAACGCTCACCTACACCGTCCATTCTCTACCTAACCAAATTTTATTTCATTTGGTATTTTGTTGTATATGATAGGGGCCATGGTCAATAAGTTCCTTCTCAATAAAGCATAAAGTTTTGTAATTGCCTGTACATAAAAGATTATGATACTGAGACCTTAGATTTATAGCACGATTTCTCGTTTCTCTTAATGAAGGGAAAAGGTGCTTATTTGTTTTCACAAAGACTGCGATTTCAAATATATATAAACAAGGAAATGTTAAAAGTTTATATTTCCTAAAAATCGGTTTACAGCTTTACAGCAGTCCGTGACCTTCAAGTTGAAAATAGATCTAAGGCATCGTTTTTGACCTTTAAAAATACTTTTCCTTTGACAACAGTTACCCCAGTATGTAATGCCAAATCTTAATATAGAAACAACTAGACCATGATATGCAATTAGAATGGTATTAACATTAACTTTTTTAGCCAAATTATGTAAAGCGTATGCTGAGACGTTAAGTTTTTTGCAAATCTTTTGCAAATCTCTTCAAAAATTTGAAAATCTAGTACGTATTTATTCCCAAAGGTTATGAACCGACGAAAGAGGAGTTGCAAAAAATGATAAGCGGCGTTGATAAAGGGCAGACGGGGAAACTGAGCTTTGAAAACTTTGAAACGGCAATAATGAGGAAAGTTATGTCATTGGACAGTGACGGAGACATCATGAAGAGTTTTAGGCTGTTTGACATGAATGATACAGGTCATAAAATATTTATTATAGTTCTTAATGTTAACGTAATTATATAAATACTAGCTTTCCGCCCGCAGCTTCGCCCGCGTGGAGTTCGGTTGTATCGCGTTTCTAAGAGAACCTTTCAAAAGTCTGGAATAAAAACTATCCTATGTTCTTTCTCAAGGTCAACTCTGTCTGTACCAAATTTCATTAAAATCTGTTCAGTGGTTTAAGCGTGAAAGCGCAAGAGATAGACAGAGTTACTTTCGCATTTATAATATTAAATAGGGATACCTTATAATACGTGTTTTTGCACACGACTTTGTCCACGTTAATTTTTGCATTAGTAATATATGTATATCTGACCGGGCGAAATCTATTCCGTCCTAGAGGCTGTAAATAACGAGATTTTGGAATTTATTAGGATTTTTCTTACGATCGAATAGATTAAATATCCAATATCCGTCTCCTTGTTCTAAGCTATCTCCCCGTCAATTTTTAACCATATCCCTAAAATCTTTCTTGCACTTTTAGTAGGATAACGACATTCTTTTATATATACATAATAAACATTCAGAAATTTAGAAAATTATCGGTCAGTAAGACGCACAACAATTTTCTTATTTATAAAGAACTCTAAAATTTTGTTGAAATTAAACTATACTAGTAGTAAATGTAACTTAAATAGTATTTTTAATATTAATTTCCTTATTTTAAGCAGGTTTTATTAGCGTGGAAAACGTGAAGCGTGTCACCGATATCCTCGGCACATATCTGACTGATGAGGAAATTGAGGAAATGGTGGACGATGCTGATACAGATTACGATGGATATGTAAATAAATAAGATAAAATATGATTATATCTTAAGACTTGATATAATTGGAGATAGTTTTAAGTGAAATTTTTGATACAACTCTTTAAAAACGATTGTCTATTGCATGTCATTACAGTTGGATTTGGGGTAATAATTTGGTGTGTAATGTAAAGCTATAAACGTAAATCTACTTATATAATCGTAGGTCTACTAAATAACGTACTACGTCTATTCAGATTAAAATAAAATATTTATTATTAAATATATACCTATAAGTATTTATTTTGTATCATTTACAAATTATCAAGTCAGGTTTTACGTCGTCCTTACATGGTTTTTACGCATATATTATTTTATTCGTAAATTGTATAGAATATTTGATTTTTATTTCAGATATCAGCCCAAGAGTTTATGAAAATGATCAAGAACTCGGTCAACATCGTCACTCCGTAATATCATGAATAAATATTTATTTCAATTTATCTCTTTTATTATTTTCATAAAAATATATATACATATAAACATTTTATAATTATTAACTAAAGATAAACTGAACAGATAACCAGTTTATGCCTAAAAAAAGTATATAATGAATAAATGTACATTATATGTATTCAAGAAAAATTAGCAACGATATTATATAATAAAATCTTATTATTATAATATATATTTATTATTAAATCATATTTTATATAATTCCGAAATTCTCTAAGTCATAATTCGTTTTTATTAATTTTCTGTCGTGTTTTTTATCAAAATTCTCTATGGTTACTCGCTAGTCGCGACTCCCAATTTCAAAGTTGTCAAAATATATCCGTTTGTGTTTTGAAACTTCGTGTTCGTGAACAAAATATATTAACAAAAAGTCAATGAAAACAACATTTTGAATAATAAATTATGTGATTTATATTATATATTGAATCATAGCCATGGGTATGTATTTCAAAACATAGGTAAATTGTTCTCCTTTCTATTTAAACACACTGAAATAAAGCTCGTATTGAAAACATCGATATGAATTTTAAGAAAGTAAACAGTTTAAAGAGTCTTATATTTTATATGTAATGTGATTTAAGTTATTAACTATAATCTACGCAGTTAATATGGACATTTAATTAACTAAAACATCTTTTTATGTTGAAAGTAATATTTTGCGGATATACTACGCGATTTTCCATCTCGTCTTAATGATCACGGTTGCTGTAAAGTAATCATAACGTCGGGAGTATGTAGTTATATCAAAAATAAAGCCGCTTAGTATATCCGTATAATATTAGTTTCATTTAAATGACTCGCTAAAGTCTCAGATCTTATTCTTTTTGTTATAGAATCTGATAATCAAACATTGGAAGAAAAGACAGAACATCTTATGAACGTAGTAGTCGAATCACGGAAAAGATTCGGCAAGATGTGTATAGACTACGAGAGGAAGACTTCACTCATGGAGAATAAAATACTCAACATGCAATTGGAAACCATTGCAAACTACAGATTTAAGTCAAAAAACATTATACCGGACATAAATATAGAAGAAAGGACAAACGATGTAGATACATTCTCAAACGAGCTTCAAGAAATGCAAACCAGAGTGGATAACTTGAAACAGAACATCAAAAACACTCAAGCCGTTGTCTTCCAGTTAAAAGCTGATAGGATCGGTAAAAAGCTACAAATACCTCTCACAGCGGATGCAATGCTCGCTAATGCTAGAAATAAAAATAATTTATGATCTACAGCATTTTTATTACTCCCTTTTATCTATTTGTATTACAAATTAACTAGAATTGTTAAATTCAACTATATATTGTATGATTTGATGAAGTTCTTAAGAATAATCTTTTTACTTGTTTTATTTTATAGTATAGAAAACACTTAAGAAAGAATACAAAACTATTTTCAATATTATTTAGAAGAAATATTGAAGTGCAATCGTTATCATCATCAGCCTATCAGAGCCCACTGCTGAGCAAAGGCATCTTCTCACATGGAGAAGGTATGAGCATTAATCACCACGCTTGCTCAAGGTGTATTGGTGATAAAGTATATACTTAAATGTTTAAATATATTATGTTAGACAAAAGTGTTAAAAGTAAATAGCTATCACAGATATATTTTTTAAATTCAGCATTAATATACCAGAGAGAATTTAGTATTAACTAAGTATAGACAAAAATTGTATGCATTCGCTTAGAATGCAATTTGTTATATGGCTATTCATGAAATCTCATATCATTTAATTAAGTTTACTCCGAAAATATATTTTTTAAAATTATCATACAAAATTTATTATATATTTTTTTACGATATTAACGTAAATTGGAATATCCAGTTATAAAAGATTCAAGTAGCATTTTTTCATTCTTATATCTATGGTATGGTATACAGATGAAAAACCGGTAAATTATTTTAAGATACAACGTTTTATATATTAAATTAGTTTTTTAAAAAAAATCTTGTCTCTGTTATTATAGAAAAGTTTTTATTCTATTTAATTTAGAATAAAATTGAAAATATTATTACGAATGCTAGTGAGCACTCATCTTTAGTATCTTAGCAACCGATATTGATATTGTCATTGATAATTTACTATTTAATTTCTTTATTGGATATTTAAATATCTACAGCGGTATTTAAATTTCTTTAATTAGAAGTGTTATATTTGTTTTTCTTAGAATGTCAGATACACAAAGTTTATTTAAACAACAATGTATAGTACCGGATGTTCTGACGACTGCGCCCTCGGAATTAATACAAATTCAATATTCTAACGGTGTTTCTGTTCAAATGGGTAAAGAATTGACTCCTACACAGGTAAAAGATAAGCCTGTGGTTAAATTCGCAGCTAAAGAAACTGAGTATTACACTCTGGCTATGGTAGACCCTGACGCACCAAGCCGGGAGAATCCGAAATTTAGAGAGTGGCATCACTGGCTTATAGGAAATATTTATGGCGGCGATATGAATAAAGGAGAAGTTTTATCAGATTATATTGGCTCTGGACCACCAAAAGGCACTGGACTGCACCGATATGTGTTTTTAGTATACAAGCAGCCAGAGAAATGCGATTTTTCCCAAGTCCCCAAACTTCCAAATAATTCTGGTGATAAAAGAGGAAAATTTTCGATCAACAAATTCGCTCAACAATTCAAACTTGGCCCTCCGATAGCTGGTAATTTTTATCTAGCTAAATACGACGACTACGTACCAAAACTATATGCGAAGCTAAAGGGTTAATTTTTATAAAACCGGTACTTTACGATTGTGTACACATCGCCTCATATAAAAATCTGACATGTTTGTCTATGGTAGATCGATAATTATTTCCGCCTCCGCGTGACAATCTCATTTTTTTGCCCCAGTCGCCATATCATCCGCCATTACATTTTGGATTTTGCGTAAATTGGTCATCGCATTGACATCGTGCTGGAACTGATCATTTTAGTGACATATACAGTGTTCGTGCGTTGTATCGCAGAGATTTATTAGAACAAAGAGAAGCGACGCTCAATCGTATGTCCATCCAGAATCTCAACACATTCGACCCATTCGCCGATGCTATCAAAAGCTCGGAAGACGACGTTCAAGATGGATTAGTCCACGTCCGTATCCAGCAGCGGAACGGGCGCAAGACGCTGACGACGGTGCAAGGGCTGTCCTCGGAATATGACCTGAAGAAGATCGTGCGGGCATGCAAGAAGGAGTTCGCGTGCAACGGCACCGTGGTGGAGCACCCGGAGTACGGCGAAGTACTGCAGCTGCAGGGAGACCAGCGCGAGAATATCTGCCAGTGGCTGACTAAGTCGGGCCTCGTGAAGCCCGAGCAACTCAAGGTCCACGGCTTCTAGAACAAATAACATGTTCTTCCCTGCGACATCATGATAGTTTATATTATGAGAGCGTGAGAGTTATAACTAATATGTATTTAGAAAGTACCGACGTTTACAGAGAGTATTGTTATCCCGGCCGTCCGGCCAGCACCCTGTGCCTTGCTGTCTCCGTATTGTAAAAAATAAATGTATTTTTGAATAACGACAACCGTCTCTGGACAGCTTAACTTTATTTAACGCCGAACGAAAATAGTCTATAATCATTTTTTTTTTGTTTTATACGACATAAATTGCTGTAATATGATGTCTCCATTATTAAACATGTTTTTGTATGTGTGATTTTTTTATTTGACTCAACGGTATTTCCACAGTGAAAGTAACTTCCAACACAATGGTACGAATTTACATTGAATATTAGTTTCCTTGTTTGTATGCCTAGTGCTAACCTTGGAATTTACGAGGTTGATCATACATTAGGAGTTATTAAACGTGTTAAAGAATAAAACAAGGCTTACTCATGTGTGACTCATAACTCAAATAAAACTGAGGTCGCAGACGTAAACATGAACGAACTAACGGCTAACCTCAATGTAGATAGTAATTTTCCATTCCGTATATAAAGTATTAATCTATTACTAAATAATGCATCTCAGAAATATAGTATACAAGTCAATCAACATTAGATTGTATTTAAAATGGCCAAGAATCTCTAAATATTCATTAACAAGACTTAACAAGGAAAATACAACAAGTACATAATCTTAACTTGTTTAGAATTCTATTTTTGCGCCAAAACGGTAACGTGTATCGAGTAGATTTAGAATATAATGCCAACGTGCATGTATTAACAAAACTTTAAATATATTAGCTATTTCATATATAAATTCTTTAAATAATTATTATATGCTGAAATTAAATTCATAAACAGCTTTTTAAGCTAATGGCAGACGGTCTTGCAACTTCGTTTGCTTACGCTTTTGAGGTTATTCATTGACAGGTATAGTTTGATGACGTTTAAAATATGCATGGTTTATAATCTTTATTATTATTCGATTATTTTCTCATTTAAAAACGATCTAAACTCGTTTATGTATAATATTTTAATATATTTTTAATCACACAATTATAAAATTAAATAAATTTGAAACAAAAATCAAACTGTTTAGAAACAGACAACTACATTTTATTTTACTGGTCATAAAATATACGTTCATAAACGATCTTATGCACTAAGATATATGCAGTGGTTTTCTAAATTAGGACAACAATAGGCCTGTTTAACTTAAATACAATTCAATGATTTTGAATTCTTGCCTACATAAATATTTCATTGTATCTGACCTCGTTTTATGTGACGTAATAAGGAATTTAATCATATCTTTATATAAACAATAAATTAAAGAAGGTTTTATGTATGTAAAATGCATTTAATTGAGTTAATAATATGTTGATACTTGCTTTACTTTACATTAATTAGTACATTGAGGTTAGAAATTACATTAATATGTTTTTAGAAGACAAAACCATTTAAAAATATGATTATTTTTTATAATTAGGATCTAAAATCGATCAATTATTTTAAATCGTACGAGTTGTAATGGGTTAAGCAACTAGTCAAGTCTGCGTTATTGTATTCAGTTAGCGGTAGTGTACCAAATATTTGCTAAATCAAATAATGAGATATTTCATTGAAAAATCCTAAAATCCATCTAATGAAAAATTCACCTAAACCTTTTTAATATATAGTTTCATAAAGATTCATAATTATTATAAAAGTTCATAAATAGCAATAGGTTTTCTTATTGCTATTTTAATAATTATATTTATAGACTTTACCATACATTTAAATAAAATAAAAATTGTCGGCATTATAAATAGTCGTTTGATATCCTTATACATATATTATTATTTCTTGCGTGAAATGAGGCATTTTGATGATTCAATTCCTGACATTGACGGGACTATCTCAGATCTCATCTGTATGACATTTACGATTGCAGTAAAACAGTTTAGATAATTCTTTGAAAAATAGAACTAATTTTAGAAATTTCCTTAAAAAAAAATACTCTACGAACCCTTAAGAAATTAATTTCTGTTATGTTGCTAAGTATTTTAGCTCGTAAGCTTTAAAAAAGAAGCTCACACAGTCAGAAAATATTGACGTATAAGGTATTAGGGAGTGCATCAAAATTATTGATATTTTCGATCAGCAATCAATGCAGGTTCTGTTGCAGTGTTATTAAATAAGTAATAAAGATGTCGGATAAGAATCTACCGCTGGGTCAGCGTGTGACGGTGGTAGGAAAGGACGTAAAGGGGACCATTGCATACGTCGGTTATCCAACTTTCGCGTCAGGAAAATGGATTGGTATTATTTTGGATGAACCTAAAGGCAAAAATAACGGTACACTGCGCGGACATGCATACTTCAGCGTGAGTATTCTTTGATACTGTTAATAATGAAGTTTTAGACCAAATTACTTGATTTCATCAAAAGTTACTACACAGCACCAATTATAATACAAATTTTATGGCTGAAAGCCCATTCACTAGATAATTTTTCGACTAAATTTATACTAATATAATAAAATTAGATTTTGTATGAAATTATATATCTATATACATTTAAATTAAAGTTTATAAAGAAACTTTCATTTTTTCTGCCTCTTACCATGATTGGTGTAAAGTAATCAAAACATTGGTTTTATTTGAATATCTTGCTGACTTCGTTTGTGAAGAAGCCACCGGAACACTTGATGTTTGAACAACTCCATATTCTAGCTCTCTCTGAAAACCTCGGGTGAAAGATCTATGTATTATCTCATTTAAGATTTTTAACACAAAAATCCAAGATATTACACTTGATAGATGTAATATAACAAAGCCATGAACTTTTAATATAATTTCTAGTTTTAACGATTTAAATTAAACAATCACTATATATTATAATATTTGGGTACAAACAGTTACGAATTGTTTAATAATTTTTTAGTTCTCAAACCTACAGCTGCGTGCAAAAGTATTAGGCACCCCTATTGTTAGTCACTATCTCATTATATTGCGGTCAAATGTGTGTTTTATGGTTTAGCTATTGTATTAGCGGCAATTTTTAACCAAATTAAGATAAAAGAAAATATTTATGACATCCAGGTGTGCTCCTAAGCGGTGTTTCTTCGAATTTGCTTTTTTTGCGTTTCGGGTTATAGTGTGTTATCAGTGCTTGCAGTGAACATACACGTCTTCTACGCAACTATTCCTATCATAATTCTGAAGACTAACATTTAACGTGTTAATCATGCCGAAAAAATCTGAACTTAGTGCTGAACAGCGTCTAAGAATTAAGATTTTACATGAACAAGGCATGTCTCAGGTTAAAATAGCCCGAGAAGTGAAGTGCTCGCGATGTGCAGTTCAATATGCTATAAATCGCTTCAAAGAGACTGGCACCCATGAAAATAGACCAAGAACAGGCAGAAGAAAAGTTACTACTGAACGGGAAGATCGATTGTTGATTAGGCAGTCTCTACAAAACAGGAAAAAAACTGCTTTAGAGCTCGCTGCAGCATTATCTGAGGCAAAAGGCAGCTCAGTGAGTGTTTATACTGTGAGAAGAAGACTTCTTAAAGCTGGATTAAAAGGATGTAAAGCAAGGAAGAAGCCGTGGCTGTCAGAACACAATAAGAAAAATCGGTTGGAGTGGGCACTCAAACATAGAGATTGGTCAGTGGAAGATTGGTCCAACATACTGTGGTCAGACGAATCTAACTTTGAGGTATTGTTATTTATTTTATGTACAATATTAAAACACATAAATGTTTTTAAAATAACGTACTGCAAGAAAAATAATAACTTTGAAAATAAATGTGTTTTTTTTCGTTTGGCATAGGTGTTTGGAACACCCGGTGTGACTTATGTTAGGCGAAGGGTTGGCGAAGAATACAACCCAGAATGTGTGGTTCCCACTGTTAAGCATGGTGGAGGCTCAATAATGATCTGGGGCTGCATGGCTGCCGACGGAGTGGGCGAAATGGTGTTGTGTGAGGGACGAATGTATAGTGTTAAATACACTGAAGTTCTGGAAACAGCACTAGCAACGTCGATAACGCAAATTTTCGGTGATACAAACACCGATGGCCTGAAATTTCAGCAAGACAACGCCACTTGCCACAAGTCCGCGCATACCATGAAGTGGTTTGCTGAAAATCATATTGATCTCTTGGACTGGCCACCACAATCACCAGACCTCAACCCGATTGAGGTATATTTGGTCCATTTTAAAGAAAAATATCCGCAGGCACTCGATTAGCAATAAACAAGCTCTATTGGCCGCGTTACAGCAGGAATGGAAAAATATATCAAGAGAAGAATGTTTCAGGCTGGTAGAGTCAATGCCAAAAAGAGTGGCTGCGGTTATTAAGTCAAAAGGTGGACCTACAAAATATTAATTATTTTCTTAAAATAAACCATTGTAATCATAAATGTAGTTTTATTTACACTCGCTATGCTAAAACACCCTAAAACTTGTCTTACTGTAGGGTGCCTAATACTTTTGCCCGTGGCTGTATTTTGTTTCTACCCACATTAAGAATAAATAATTTTTTCAGCTACAGTAAAACTACTTTAACTTGACTCAGCTGAATGAATTCCATATCAATCCCGGCCTATACACAAAGTCCCAATTGTTTTTTGACACTCTTAAGTCCCTTAAGACCTTCAGAATCCATAAGGTGGTGCTATCACCAACTTTTAGGAAAGGCTGTCTTATAAGAACATCGCTATGAAATTTATATATATTGGTCATGGTCCCTTCGCCTAGCCTAAATTCTTAATCCGTCTTGAGCAAGCATGATTAATGCTTAAACCTTCTCCATGTGAGAAGATGCCTTACAGCAGTATGCTCTGATAGGCTGATGATGACATATAGAGACGAAACTTCTTAGCATTCAATGTATTCACGGTGCGTGTGTCGGGTCCATCGTTGTAGTGAGAGGAGCTTCAACAGTGACTGGGACTTGTGACCCAGGTGTAGGTTTAAGGGACCCCCTATAAAAAAGACTTGTAAATGTCAAAATATAAGACTTGTAAATATCAAAATATTAGAGAAACACTGAATTTGTTGCACTATCTCTTTATATGTGCACAAAATAGTTTAATACCTGTTCTCTTATTTTAGAAGAATAGCAAATACTAAAGCATATTTTACTTTCTTCCAGTGCGAAGAGAAGTACGGAGTATTCGTCAGGCAGACCCAGATACAACTCCTCGATTCAGATGACAACCCAATGGACACCTCGATGACAACCTCAACCGAGGAAACCAAACCCAGCCGACGTCTCAGCAGGTAAATATTATAGCTGTCTATCACATGTTGAATGTAATGGTTTTTATATCACACATTAAATTGTTATCCATTTATGTAGTACTATAGAATATATAGTTTTACTTACATAATGGTAAGAATTATGATATATATATGTATTATTAGTTATTCTAGTCAAATGACTAATATGTATTAATGAGATCTAAGATTTTCGTGAGTATTAATTTAAATGAAGCTAATATTTTTCATATATACTACGCGACTTTATTTTTGTCATAAACTACATACTCCCGACGTTTCGGTTACTTTGATAATGGTTGCTGTAAAGTAACCGAAACGTCGGGAGTATGTAGTTTTTGATAAAAATAAAAATTGCGTAGTATATAGAAAAAATATTAGTTTAATTTTAATATGAATTACTTATTCGACAATAGACAGTGGTGACAATATTTTTACATAAGAAACATATACTGAAAAATTATGTTTTTCTACTTGATAGTAAGTTCTAGAAATTATCTTAATTTTATTGTATTAAGCAATTATACTGTAATTAATTGACTTATTAATTATGATTCTAAGTTAAATAACATATAATATTGATTATAATTTAAGTTCTCATTCATATGCTATACATTAACTAAATGCTATTTTGACTACTATAGATTAAAAATGCATATTTTCTTTAGACCTCAATATAATGTCATTACATAGTTTAGTTTAGTAATTTAAAGCTTCTAGATCATGTTAATTATAATGAACTAACTTTTAATGTATTTTTTTAATCAAAAAAAGAGGTTTTATAATTTCAATATCAACATTAAAACCTCCATGGTCGACTCATCCTAACTGATAATGTTTTCTTTGCTAGTATAACAGTGGCCCAGAGGTCTAGACCGACCACGTAAGTACTAGACAACTAGCAGCACAAGCTTAGCCATGCACTACGCTTTAACAAAGATATCGCTAGACTAAAATTTATTTTTCACTTTGGCTGTATGTTTTCGGATCTATTTTTATTTCAGTGTCTTTTTTTTTTTTTAGTTTTGTGCCAGCATTTGTTTTCTAGCGAAATCTTTAATAAAACTTTTTGATTGTACTTTTTAAAAAATTAATGCGATGTCGCTTTAGCTCGTAAATTTTAACCTTCAGTAAGCTACTACATATGTTTGGAGAAATTCTTCAAGTTAAATTTCTTTCTTAATTTCAATAATAATAATGTCCTTAAATATATTTAACTTAAAATGTATTCTGTTATAATTGTTTTGAATGTCTCGTAAGTAACAAGCAAGTGTTAATATTGAGTGTGTGTTTGAAATCTACAAAGGGTGCGGAGAAAGGCGTCTCCTGCGCAGACGAAGACCGGAAGTCTCTCCATGTCGAGGTAATATATGTAATGTTCAAATACGATTTTAGAACAGATTATAAAAAAAAATTCTCAAAAAAAGCGCGGGAAATCATAACATTGACAGTTTAAAGCCAATTTCTGTTCTATTATCATATTTTTTGTAATGAATGTAAATATTCTGTTAAAACTGTATGTCCGCATGTTATTACGTTTGTAGAGCTTCCAAAATATTTAATGTACTATAGTTTTTAAATGAAATGGCGTAGTGTTTGTAAATTGAAAACTGGTTCAGACTTTTTGAACTAGATGGCTCTAGTAGTCTTGAATTGATATTTCACAAATATTATATAATGGTCATGTTTTAGAAAGAATAATGATTATACATGATTCTTAGCTTTTCTATTCTATTCTATTGTATACAATTATCTTATATACTTTTTTTCACTATCTAGTTGTTAGTTCTTTCATTCACAACTAGATGGCCCTAGTAGTAATCTAGATCGCGCTAGCGTTTGTGTTCATTAGAAATGCTTAAGTTTTTCAAGAATTATATAAATTATATACAAACAAACAAACAAACTTTTTAGTATTTTTGTAAGTAATTGAGTAACTTACGTTGCTTATATTACTAAATGTAGAGTTTTATAGGTTTTGATCAAGAAGCCAAACTTTATAATATAATACTAGCTGACCCAGCAAACGTTATGCCATATAAAAAATTAGGGATTGGTGATAAAAAAGTAATAATTTTGGGGTGTATGTATTTTTTAATTATAAAAAAATAAAATCACAAAATTTCGTCCGAAAATAAAAATAATAATTAAGGGTGAACAACCATTAACTTAGGGATATGAAAAATAGATGTTGTCCGATTCTCAGATTTACTCAATGCTAACAAAATTTCATCAAAACCGGTCCAGCCGTTTCGGAGTCTGTCTAACACTGCGACACGAGCATTTTATATATAAATCGATGGGTCCTACGTATCAGGGTAAATGTAGCATTTTAACCATTTTCATTATTTTTTGCCTTAAACACTTCATAATACTGTATTTAAAATGCGTATTTGTTGGTGGAAAGACTTAGTTTTTTTCCAGTAAAAAAACATAAGTAACACACTTTTTAACATATAAGGGCTTATATACATTATTTAAAAAAACTAGTATGTTTACAAAAAAATTATCAATCTTAAATGACGTACATGTATGTCATAGTTGCTATGCAAAGTTTCAAAAGCATCAGTTGTATGTACAAGATACATTGAAATCAAACTTAAAACGCCTCTACTGAATAGTATATTTATATTCTATTAGTACAATATTGGTCTTTTGTTCAATAATCGTCCCTAGTACGAGCTATCTTGTAACAAAAAACGGACAGTTTCGAGTATTAAATGAACAAAACGTCATTATGTCTGTAGATCTATGAATTAACTAGATAAAGTATTTACATGATTAATATATTTTATCAGAGCACTGTAACTAATAATGGTTATGTTTTTATCTTACTTTATATTAAATTTGTGAATAATGAAAATATTACCTGTTAAGACGGCACTTCACTTGGCCAAATATTTGTATATAGTCCAAATAGCGCAAATAATACATCCACTTGGCATGCCAACAACGTCTTTACGCGATTTCTCTTATTTGTGTATGTATGTTATTTGTACAAATATGTCAAATAAAGACGAATATATCCTCCACATATGGTCTTATTTGGCCGAACAACAAATAAACGCCAAGTGAAGTACCACCTTTATATTTAATCTTCTCTACGTAAATGTAAATATTATAGTTGTGAAATAATTTCTTTTGATCACCATTTCTATGCTTGTATTGGATTTTTGATGCTTTTTCATAGTTATTTGCACCAAGTTATGTATATTGTAATCAGTGTTTCTCAAAGTGTTTTCATCTCGTCTTAGTGATCACTATTGCTGCAAAGTAACAGAAACATCGAGTAATTTAGTTAAAATGAGACGAAATTTCTCATCATTCAATGTATTCACGGTGCGTGTGTCGGTTCCATCGTTGTAGAGAGGAGCTTCAACAGTGACTGGGACTTGTGACCCAGGTGTAGGTTTAAGCGTTCCCTATAAAAAAAAAAACTTGTTGTAAATGCGAGAATATTAGTTTTTTTTATGTATTTATACTTTGAGAAACACTGAATTTGTAGCACTCTCTCTCTATATGTGCACATAATAGTTTAATATGTGTTCTCTTAAGTTAGAAGTATATTTTGGTTGCACGCTTGTTAGTTATTTTGCTCAGGAATTGTACTCATCAATATTTATATATGGATGACAAGAGAAATGTTAGTACATAGCTTATATAGAATTTTTTAGAATATAATTTTTCATATATATACATATGTGTATGTACATAATTACTTACTAAGATTTTTTACTTTCACACTTTTTAAGTGACATGTTTAATTAAGGTAGTAATCTTTTCGTTTGTATTCATATATATGTCTCTCTTTTCTATTTATCCTTTCTCTTTTCATTATACCTACACCACATTTCATTTTATTTCCTCTATCAAAAGGGTTTCTGGTAGAGATCTCATTTAAAAGATAAGTTTTCCTTTGTTCATCACATGTCTATAATTATGTAACTACAACTTTTGGTATATAAATAAATAAGCTGTTAAACACTTTTAGTAATAGGAGGATATATTTTGTAATTTAAAATATACTTGTAAGATATTTGATATGCTTTTTCTATTAGTAATAAACACTTTGATTGTCTGAAATTTTTTATATAAGGAACAGATTGTACCTATACTATTACCGCCACTTTTGAAACTGAGCCATCGAGTCAATGTTATAATACATTATTGGTACTTCTGGATTAGTTCCAGAACTTCGCTGGCCAGCAGTCGTCAGTCGTTGACCTCATTCGTGTCTCCAACCACTGAAAGAGGGACTTCCCCTGATCTCACGAAGCGTGCTTCCTTTGTTGAGGTTGGTATAACAACTGTACACAACTAGATAACAACTGTATACAACTAGATAACAACTGTATACAACTAGATAACAACTGTATACAACTAGATAACAACTGTATACAACTAGATAACAACTGTTTACAACTAGATAACAACTGTATACAACTAGATAACAACTGTATACAACTAGATAACGACTTTGTGGTCATGATCCATATTAAGCATTTGGTTTGGTTTCAATTAATTTCAGACTGGTTTCGTGGAGACTTTAACACCTCAATACACGCCGGGTCAGAGTTTGACCTCACCTTCAACAGCCTCTGAGGATAAACTGGCGAACATACAGGCGCAGCAAGAGGTCAGTATTATATATATATGTATATATACAGTGCAACCTTAATATAACGTACCTCAATATAACGAATTCCTCGATTGAACGAATTTTTCGTAATCCCCTTGAATTGTCCGTACGATTCAATATAAAATATACCTCTACATTGCGAACATTCTTTTCGAACAACCTCTTTATAACGAATTTTCAACTATTAAAAAAAAGTATTCATACCTCAAATTAACGAATTTTGTCAACCCAAAACCTTTATATAAAGTTCCCACTAATAACTCTTAATCTTATATTGTAATTCGTGTCTCGACATGTTTCGACATGGCTTTTGTTCGTAAACTAATCGTTGTTTGATGAAAAGTAATATAAACTCTCTGCTCTTCACTATTGTTAAAGTTTTAAGTTAAAATGGCTCCGAAGCGTAAAAGGTAAAACTAGGTATTGTTTTACCTTTTTATAATGAATTTTAGACCAACCTTACCTCAATAACAAACCCCAGTTCAACGAATTACTTGATATTACGAATATTTTCTTGTTCCCCTCCGATTTGTTATATCGAGTTTGCATTGTATATGTTAGTGTATGTGCTCGAACTATAGTAAATCAGAAGATTTTCTAGTAAAACCTAAGATTTAGCAATTCTCAATAAATGTTCAAAAAGGTATTTAAGGTTAGGTTTATTTAAGTAAATAATTAAAAATGCCCCATCGGTTTAATCCCAAAACCAACATCTATCAGCTAAACACACTAGAATCTAGCATGTGCTGTATGCGAATGGTACAAACCTGCAAAAATGGTCTTATTTACCAACTCATAAGTTTTACTCAAGATTTACCGTAGTTTGAGCTTTTACAGCGCTAAATATGAACTTTTCTTATTTCATACATATAAAATGTCCCACTAAAATTTCATTAAGAACTCGCAGTTGAAAAATGAAGTATAAATGTACTTAATTTGAAAGTTTTCTACCTACCTAGATGATAATAGTATTCTGGCTGAAGTTTAAACTCAATGGTCTAGTCTTAATATGTTATATTACATAGGGTGTTCAGAATGGATTACTTTTTCAAAACGGGCAGGAAGGGAAGCTGGGGGTTTTAGTGAGTATTCCAAGAGCCAACACCATCAGGCTCTGGGCGACTCCCATAGACTTATAATCTGCAGTAATTATATGGTTTGAAGAGTGAGAGAGATGGCCTATGCTTTCGGTATAGCACTATCTCTTTCCTCATAGATAATTGGCGCTCAGTTTTCATTACAAGCACGGCATATAAATTTGAGAGAGATAAAGATAGACCGAAACTTCGTTTCTTCTCTTTCATTCGGAGTGCAACAATTCTCATCTCTAAGGCATGTCCATTAGTATAAGTCGATGGCGACCTCCACACAAATCCCACTATCGTGCCAGGGCAGTGGGTAGTGTGTCAGCGGTTTTCTTGGGAAAAGAAATATTAGAATATTACTAAGTTAAAGTCAAGGAAAATTGATAGGTATATATTTTGAATATATATGACGTCATAATGTATAGTTTTCCATATAAATATCATTGTAAAATCATCTATGACTCAAAAATGGTGTTCAGAATATTGTTCAGTTAAAGTCAAAGAAAATTTATATATTTTATAAATATATGACGTCTCATGTATTTTATTCCATATAAATATAATTGTAAAATCATCTATGACTCCAGATAGTGAACCTCAAAGCCGAAGTCGAAGATTTGAAGGAGAAGTTGGAAACTTTGAAATTGAGACGTGCTGAGGACAGGGAGAAGATAAGAGAATTGGAAAGAATGATGGTACAGCTGGACCAGGCTAATGAGTTTAAAGCGAGGATCATGGACTCACATTCACAGTTGCAACGAGACCTACAGAGAGCGAAACAAGAGGTAAGTAGGAAAATATAGCTTGAGAAGCTAAGAACGAATGGTGATTGTAATACATATAATTATTTATATTTATATAAGAAGACCCGGCGAACATCGTATCGCCCTATAATCAAGAAATATCTGTTACGTTTTTTATTTATACTTTTGGATTTTACCTATTAAAGCCGTAAATCTCCGTGTTTTGAAGTGCGACAGAATGATTGACATATTAGTTAGTTGTCAAATCTAATGTGAAAAAAAAAGTTTGTATAAACAACTACTAATAAATTAAAAATTAATTTAAAAAAACATTGTCCAGTGGACAAAATTGTGAATCTAAACAATTCCCATATATAAAGACATACAGAAACAGTTACATCCCACGGATTTCCGGTATGTAAAGTAGCCTATTTTAACATACACACACACTCACAAACTTTCGCAATTATAATATTAGTAGGATCATTTTAAGGGTGAACAAACCTTATAAGTTAAGGGTATGAAAAATAGATGTTTGCCGATTCTCAGACCTACTCAATATGCTGACAAAATTTCATTAAAATCAGTCCATCCGTGTCGGAGGAGTTCAGGAACGAACATTGTGACACAAGAATTTTATATATGTAAGATTTAGTGACCAAGATGAGCTGATATTTGTGGTGAAATGAGTTAGTTAGTGTAGCTTGTGTGTATAGAAGTAGCAAAATCACTGAATAATGACAGAACAGAAATAATGTTCAATTATAATAATTGCTTGCATAAAGCGCCATATATTGTTAAGCAAATTTAGCTTTTAGGTTAACCTTATGCTGCTTCTTCACCTCAAAAAGTAAAAAAAGATGTTTTCTTGAAACATCACCTAGACGGACCATAAAAATCATGTTACAGAGACTCTTCTTCTTCCTGGCAATTTCCCAGCCCTAGCCAGGGTCTGCCTTCCTACTTAAACTCCTCCACTTTGCACGGTCTTTGGCATATCGTTATAGAGACTCAGAAAATATACATACAACAATTACACTTAATTTAACACCTGGAGAATTTTAATAGCTTAGAATTCATAAACTCCAGCATAAATAAAATTTTCACCTTACATTTAACAGTAATAAAGATGAGATAGACCAAGATATACTGGTTTAACATATAATATAAGTTTTTGATGAAAAAACGTTGCCGATTTTTAGAAGGAAGCTATTGGGTTATTGTAGGGAGCACTTGGATTAACCGCTCTTGAGTTGTATGGTTCGTTGCTACTGTACTGAATTATGTATTACATCTCATTCAAGTGAACATTGTTCTTTATGAGAAATAAATAATGTTCTTTAACCACAATATAACCAACAGCTGCGCGAGGCTCAAGAAGCGCTGGACCAGCACAACGATGAAACAGCTGACCTGCAAGAAGCAGCTGAAATGGCAGCTCTTGATAAGGAAATGGCGGAAGAAAGAGCTGAGGCGTTACAGCTTGAATTGGAACAGACGAGGGAAAAGCTGGAGGAAGCTACTCTGGACCTGCAACTGATGAGGGCTGAAATGGAGGCTGGAGGGAATATACGTGAGTATATGTAGAGTATATGGACTTATATATATATATAATATATGTGTGTATGTATATGTATATAGGAATTTCGTTCGAATTTTCCAAAAGAAAATAACGATATGACATTTGACAAAGAGATAATGAGATTTTGATTGAAATGAACTATATAAAATGTAATCTTTAGATTTGTTTCCTCAACGGCCAAGCGTAAAGAGAAACGGCGTCTCTTTTGTCCTTTATTGTTATATTGAGAAGTTCCTATATATATGTATATACATATATAATTTCTTCAATACTTCCATATTTCATCATTTCTGTCCATATTTATGTAGTCTCCTTAATACATTAGTTATCATACTGTATAACCATGTTGAAATTGTCATCGTTTAAAATCATATGTTATTCAAATTTACATGGCCATAGAGAGGTATAGATCATAAATCTTTGAAATGCAGAAGATGCTGTGATCTCTTAAGAATTTATCAAATATGATGTCTTCGAGTAGAAATATTTCTGCCAGAAAAATTACCAGGACATGGTCCCTTAATAAAAAAAAATTCGCAATACATAATCATTCTTCTTCCTGGCAATTTCCCAGCTTAAGCCAGGGTCTGCCATACATAATCATTATTATATTATAAATGTGAAAGTTGGTTAAAAAGAAATATTATTTATTATATTTAATATATTTACTATGAATATTTTTCATTGATAAATATAAAATTTTCTCAACACAGAACTCGCTGCGATGAGTGAAGGTAAAGAAATGATGACTTTCGCATTTATAACAATTATTTTAAGTTTTTTTTTTAGATTAAAACCTTTTTTTTATATATCAAATAGTCACCCATCCGGCGTTCAGCCTGGACTAATGTAGCTTAACATTCCTTAAATATGTTTCTTTATTATTATTTTATTTACTTGTATTTTTTTTATTTTTTAGAAATTAACAACCAACTATTGCATGTAGGTATACAATCTATTTTTGTTTCGATTTAAAATGTTTTTTGATAGTTTTTTTGCAACTTTATATATTTTTTTCTGTGCTAATTAATATTTTTTTGCATGGATTTGTTTATTATGCGTGTTTCTATATATTAACTTTTTATATTTAAATTAGTTAGTTTTTTATCATTCACATTAATCTTTGAATGCCAAATTTCATATGAACTTTTTACCATATCTCGTGATTTTGGGCACTTTATCTTTGTATGATAGTCTATGAAATGTTTTTAGTGTTTTTCTCCTTAATGAAGTACTATCGTGATGTACAAAAGTCTATATATATGTATAAAATCTTTGTTAGTTAATTATATATAGAATATTAAGAAGTATGAACAGATATTTGGGTAGGAAAATTAAGTTTTGTTTATCACTGCGTAACACTATTCCAAAATAGAACTCTATATATATATATACGTCCAGAATTTTAGAGGTATTCAAAACCACAAACACATACATAACTTCAGTCTAGAACATTCCAGTCTAGTTAACACTATTTAAAACTAGAGCTCTATACAGGGTGACTGGTGAATTACTATCAATATTTAAGGAGAATACTCGGTACATGATTCTCATTCGAATTATGTAAAAAAAATAGGCACTTAATTTTTGACAAAATTTCCGTATAAATAAGTAAAGTGTTGACACGTTCCAAGTGTTCAAGTGTGGACGCGTGCGGCGGCGTGCTGATACAACAACACGCCGCCAAACGCGTATGTGTGAGTGTGTGTATATACCTAATCTGTAGGGTGTTCATACGATGCGTAATTAATTACATAACTTTTGGTTAACTTTACTTAGAAGTTTATTAATATTTATGTTATATTAATTTTTATTTTGTCATATATGATCGTCAAATATCACGTCCTCAAATATCGATAGTAATCCACCAGTTACCCTGTATATATATATATAAAGATATAAAGTTTTAGAGATATGCAAAAACCACAAACACAGATAACTTCAGTCTAGAACATTCCAGTCTAGTTAACACTATTCCAAATTACAGCTTTATTTATATAGATCGAATGTTTTAAATGTATTCAAAAACCAAACATATACCTTCAGTCAAGTTAATATAGGAGCGATAACAAACAAGTAGCAGTCGTAGAACTATCAAATGTTTATTAGAACACCCGTATGCAGCGGGCGACACTGGCGCCACTGGTTATGAAGTGAGGCAGCTACAACAACAGAATGTACGACTGAGAGATACATTGGTCCGACTCAGAGATCTATCGGCCCATGATAAGCATACTATGCAGAAAATGATGAAGGTTTGTTCATGATTATGATGCGGATTTGATATAGTCGCGGATATTCCAAATCCGCGTAACGAACATTGGATAGTTCCGCCTATCTATATTGGAAGATCAGAAGAAAGTTTAAGCTGAAATATTTTCAATATTAACGACTTTTAAGGTATGTTTTTCGCAATTAGTAATGAATTAAACACTAAATAATTGGTAATTGTGAAAAAAATATCTTTAAAGTCGTTAATATAGAAAATATCTCAGCTTAAACTTTCTTCTGATAATTAATCTGCTTCCAATGTAGATACGCGGAATTATCCAATGCTAGTTACGAGGATTTGCACTATCCCCGACGGTATGCATGTGATGTTTTACTTGTTTTGATTTTTTTGTTAATTATGTCTCAAAAAAGATATATGTATATAAAATTGGTTGTAATAAGAAATAAAAAGAATTAACTTGTTAAATAGTTATATATGCAATGGAATTGATTTTTGAACTAACAATTAATTTCAAACATAGAATAATATACCCTATGTTGTATGATTTTAAGTGCAATTTTTATTATTTTATATATATACTTATTTTTATATTCTTTAAAAGCCAGTAATTCAGTAAATGCATTCTTATATTCTTAGCAATGTATTAGACAAAATAAATTTGAAAAATTCAATAATTATACAGGAAAAATTTTCACTTAATTCAATACTATTAAAAGCAAATTTATATATTTAGAATGATGTAATAAATAAAGGCCTAAATTGTTGAATTATCTGAATATTTCTTTGGCATAAAAATATCAATTATATATTGCAAGGATTTGGAGCAATACAAATCAGAGATAGCTGAACTATCAAGGACTAAGGAGAAGCTTTCAGCCAGGGTTGAGGAACTGGAGGCTCAAGTTGCTGATCTGAGAGAACAGGTACCATGTTCATACTAAATATCTTTTTATATATATATTCTTATATTAGTTTCAGGGTTATTTATGAAACAAAACGTAAAAGGCTTAACAGATTTAAGTAAAACTTTTTCATATATAATTTCCAGGTGGACGCCGCTCTAGGTGCTGAAGAAATGGTGGAACAGTTAGCTGAGAAGAAGATGGCTTTGGAAGATCAGGTAAAATAAATAATAAGTTATATAAATATATATCTTTCAGTACCGAACTATATGTTCTGATGACCTTTTAATGAGTGTTCCCACCACAACATACTACGATTATTAGGATCGTATGAAAAATGCAATATATGCAATACTATTTACTTATCGGAGAAGGAAAGAACTATTGGGCATAGTCTCATACAATACAAAGTTTTTTTTGTATGACACGTTTTTAATGCATTAGATAGGGTCCCTTAAACCTACACCTGGGTCACAAGTCCCAGTCACTGTTGAAGCTCCTCTCACTACAACGATGGACCTGACACACGCACCGTGAATACATGGAATGATGAGAGGTTTCGTCTCCCTCTCTCTCTGAATATACTAGAAGACCCGGCGAACTTCGTATCGCCCTATAATCAAGATATATCTGTTACGATTTTTTATTTATATTTTTCAAGTTTACCTATTAAAGCCATAAATCTCCGTGTTTTGAAGTGCGACAGAACGATTGACATATTAGTTAGTTGTCAAATCTAATGTCAAAAAAACCACGTTTGTATCAACAACTACTGATAAATTAAAAAATAATTAAAAAAACATTGTCCAGCGGACAAAATTATGAATCTAAACCATTCCCAGATCCCCTTGAACACACAAAAAATTTCATAAAATCGGTCCAGTCGTTTGAGAGAAGTTCAGTGACATATACACTCACAGAAGAATTATATATATATAATGCTGATGCTAGGATTGGTAGTATAGGAACCAATATTTTTCCAGGTGGAACAGCTTAAACAAGACGTATCTGAGCTGGAAGCGCTGCAAGAAGTCCACGAACAGCTTGTAGAATCTAACCGAGAGCTGGAAATGGATTTGCGCGAAGAGCTTGAAATGGCGCATGCTGCTACCAGAGAGGTAATCATTTACAGTAGAAATTGAGAAATAATAACCCAGGTCAATGACCCTTGATTAAAACATGATAAAATCATTTATGTTAGTAGATTAATATTGTTATCAGTTTTGTTTCTTAGTTTTTAACTTTGTTTTAACCTAGTTTTTATTTTGTTTTATCTTAGTTTTATACCGTTTAGTCTGTATTTTAGTAAAAAAACAATGTTTTATGCACCTGTAACGGCAAATCATACTGGATTGTATATTTAGTGCATTATAATATTGTGTTAGTTATGTGGTCAACATATACAGGGTGACTGGTGAGTTACTATCAATATTTAAGGAGCATACTCGGTACATGATTCTCATTCGAATTATGTAAAAAAAATAGGTACTTAATTTTTGACCAAATTTCCGTATAAATAAATAAAGTTTGGATACGTACTCATCCTTGCCGGCGCCAGTGTGTCGCTACTCCCCAACCCCCGCCCCGTGGCTAGCGGGCCATTAGTCGGCTATTAGTCGCGCGAGCGCCGCCGTAAGGTCCGTACGTTCGTCTACCCGCGCGCGCGCCTAGCGATCGATCTTACGCGTATACCTAATAATAATCTGTCGTGTGTGCGTGTGACCCGTTATTACTTATTAGTAATTAAATATGGCTTTTCAATACACAAATGCAGAATACTTGGACATGGTTCATGCGTATGCGCGTGCAAATGATAGCTTGCCGGGCGCAATCAATTTGTACCGGGAGATGTTCCCCAACCGTCGAGTACCTACGGCCAGCGTCATCTTAAACGCTAATCAAAGATTACGAGACTTCGGACAGTTCCGTGTTCCAACACATGCCCAAGGAAACGTCTTGTGTATGCTACAATGTATGTCAACAGAGAGGAGTTGAAATTAAAAATCAATAGTGCTTTCGAAACTATTAAAAGTGACCTATTCGTATTAAATCGTGTGAAAGACAATATGTGTAAACGTGCCGAACTGTGTATCACACGAGAAGGAGCTCGCTTTGAACATTTGTTAAGGTTAGTGTAGTTATGTAGGTAAATATGTAGTTTAATGATTGACAATTGTTGTAAATAAGTATGATTCCATTTTTAAATACGCCGGAAATACCAAAATAGGTAAACAGTTCATATTATTTTTTGTGTCAAGGTCACACCATTTACCTAGTCAATAAATTGGTTGCTTAAACGAAAGAAATATCTTGGTATTTTTGCCTGTCCTAAGCCAGGATTAAAGTATGAAGGGATTTGGATCATTTTTGTTTATCTAAGGTCTAACACGCGGCGGCGCGCGGCGTTTGGATGTAGGTAAACTACCGCGCGATAACTACATATATCTACGTACATAACTGTTTTGTGTCGATAACGCAGCTAGGGTATCCACGCGATCCGTAATTAATTACATAACTTTTGGTTAACTTTACTTAGAAGTTTATTAATATTTATGTTATATTAATTTTTATTTTGTCATATATGATCGTCAACTACCACGTCCTTAAATATTGATAGTAACTCACCAGTCACCCTGTATAGGAATAGCAATTTTTGGTAACATTACTTTTGATAAAGTCACAAAATGCTTAGAACTTCAAATATGTGGTCAAATTAGGTATACTAATTAGACAATTTTAAAATTTGCTTAGAAACAATAGAAGATCCGAACCCCACTACTTGTAAACTTTTTATTATTGTTATTGATTTTTAACATTAATATTTGTCCTGTTGTAGTTGTTATGTTTAATTTTCCTTTTTTTTTGTATACATAGGTTAGGTTTTACTCTGTTTTTATTTGTTTTGTATTGGTGTAATCTTTTAACCAATAAACGTCTATTATTATTATTATTAAATGTTTGCCAAAATTAGAATCCCTAAATATTTATCCAAAAATTTTTCGTAATCTTTCAGGCTGTTCGTGAGCGTGAAGCGGCCTTAGAAACGATTATGGATAGAGATGCAACTATTATTAAGTTCAGAGAACTTGTACAGAAGATGACTGAACAACAGAACGAACTCAAGAGTCAAGTGGAGAATAAACAGGGTAAAGAAAACTATTATTATTCTTATATACATCTATTATAAGTCGTGGTGGCTTAATGGTTAAAGACCTATGCATGAGGGCGCGGGTTCGAAACCTGGCTAGTACCAATTTGTTTTGTAGTCGTATGTACTTTATAAGAGTACTAGCTGCGCCCCGCGGTGTTACCCGCGGATATTCTGGGATGTAAAGTAGCCTATATGTTATTCCTGGACGTCAGCTTCCTGTATACAAAATTTTATCAAAATCGGTTCAGCCGTTTGAGCGTAAAGAAGTAACTAACATACACACACACAAACTTTCGCAATTATAATATTAGTAGGATTTAGATGCCACTGACAGATGAAGGAAAATATTGTGAGGAAACATGGACTTATAATCAAATTATAAGTATCTTAGTTTTGGTTATATTCTTGCTCACTAAAAAAAGATGATATTTTTATGCAGGGTACAATCTTGTGTGATGCTAGTAACCAATTCTCTCTTATGATAAAGATTCCCCAACTTTTTGTCTATTATCCACTTTGAGAATATATTAGTTTTAGCGATCTTTTTTCACTAACTGAATTTTTTTACTTATAATAGCTAAACCAAATTATAGCATATCAAGTCTCTACATAACGCCTCCAATTTTATTGACTTTCTTAGTATCGTTAAGGCCTACAGCGCTCGCTAGAGGGCGTTATCGTCTTTGGCACAGGCTTTTTAAAATGATCACAAATAAGTATAAGAAAGTCGTGTTAGTTATACTACTTATAACTCAAGATCGGCTGTACGGGTTTGGATGAAAATTTGTGGAGAGATAGATTAGAACATGGAAAGGACATATAATACTTTACATTCCTTAAAATGAAGAGGTAAAATCATTAATCTTTTTATCTACTGTCTTTAAGAAGCAATAGAGTTCGCTCGGTTAGCTATATAATTCTGAAACTAACACAGACAAAGTCAAATAACTACAATAGTTCTTTAATAAAATTATCACAAATATACCCAATATAGAAAAAATTACACTTGTATAGATATATTGCTTATTATTGCTCAATTTCAGGCGACCACGAGCCGTCTCCGGAGGGCGAAGCGCCCGAGGCTGCGCCCCGCGAGCTTGGAGCCCTGGTGCTTCAATCCAGGGCTGCCACTCGCTCTGTGGATTTGCAATTGAGGGCTTTAGAGCTGGAACAGGCTCGGGCCAGGGCTGATAGACTAGCGGCGTGTCTACCTGATCATTTCATGGCACCCAATGGTGAGGTTATATATATATACTAGCTGCGTCCCGCGGTGTCACCCGCAGATTTCCGGGATGTCAGCTTGCTGTATACAAAATTTTATCAAAATCGGTTCAGCCGTTTGAGCGTGTAGAAGTAACAAACATACACACACAATCACAAACTTTCGCAATTATAATATTAGTAGGATATAGTTATATTTAAGATACGAACAAAATCATTAAAAAATATAGTTTACTTATAAAGCCAGTACTTTTAAATAACAAATAAAACTTCAACCAGAACAAACTAATTATTATTTTAACCCAATACAACATAAATAAGTTAAATTCAATTTACAATAATACAAGTCGTGTTCACAAAATACTTTACCGCGTAAAAGTGAACAAACCAAACGTCATCTCTTTACTTCGGGTGCGTTCGGGAATTTAAAGGTTCGGTTCAAATTAAATGTGCGTTCTCTAAATATATATATTAGCTTCTCCTGCAATTTCATATCCATTTTTTTGTCTTTTTTTTTCTAATATAAGTTATATTTAATAATACAGTCCAATTTGACTGTGGAAACTGTTATTGTAATAACTGTGTTTTTCCCATATATATATATACATATATTTGTTTTGTAACCATAGATATATAATATGTAAAGCTTTTTCTCTGTTTATGAATATATATATATTTATTCTAAGTAATAATATTTCCAGGTGATCACGACGCAATCATGTTCATTCTGCTCCTACAGCGGTTGGACACGAAATCTGAAATAATACTCGGACAGATCAGGGAAAAGTAAGTAGTATAACAGAATAATATAACAGAAATATACATATGAACAAAATTACTATTTAACCACTATGTATTGAACTAAACTTTGTTTGGGCATCAATACCTAGTTTGTGTATATATTTTAACTTCTTCTTCTATTCTGCAAATTTTGCAGCTTTACCCAGGGTCTGCCTTACATGTTGTGAATAGTTTTGGCTTATTGTTTTACCGACCGCCCGCCTGCCTGACATCAACCCTCTTTGGGAAAAAGATATTTTAAATTATTATATGATAAAAAAATACTTTGTTTTTGGGAGAATCTCCAAAATACATATAAAGAAAATTCATGAATATATATATCATCATCATCAGCCTATCAGAGGTCACTGCTGAGCAAAGGCCTCTTCTCACATGGAGAAGATTAGAGCATTATTCACCACACTTGCTCAAGACGGGTTGGTGATTACAAACTTATAATTTGATATAAGTCCAGGTTTCCTCATATTTTCTTTCATCTATCAGTGATGTCTAAATACTCTTAGAAAGTACATATGACTCGGAAAAATCTCATTGGTACTTGCCAGGATCGAACCCGCGCCCTCGTGTATGAGAGGCGGGCCTTTTAACCCCTAGGTCACTAGTGACTCGTCTGTCAGTGGTGTCCAAATATATATATATATATATATATATATATATATATATATATATATATATATATATATATATATATTCACGTATTTTGCTTCCAGATTTCCAGCAGTTAACGTCTGGGATAAGGAGTCAGTGATGAGGACGCATACAGCTGTTCAATACAGCTTCAGATGTCAACTGGAATACCAGCTGCAAATGATACAGGTGATCCAGAATAATATTCATATATTTATTTAAAAGGTACATTAACATCACACATAAACAACAGATAAAATAGAAACAAATCTAGCACCCGATATGAGTGATAATTACAGATGTACACAACATTTACATAAAGAAAAAAAGAAAACTTATTGTCTACCTGTTGAATTTAAGTGATAATTATATAACTATTAAAGAAAAAATCTTAAGATCCAATATACAAAATTACAAGAAAAAAATAATAAAATAAAAACATTCATATACTTCTAGTTTTAAATTTCAAATTCAATTTTGTTACCTATTAGTGCTATACTAAAAGGCTAATATGGAAAATAGATTAATTGTAATAAACAAAATTAATTGTCTTGTCTTATTGGACACCTGTGGTAGTGTATCAATACTTAAAGTTATAATTTGTATTTATCGGATTTATTACAAATTCGTTGTTTTTAAAGAGATAGACGCCAGCCTCTCCGACGTCACTATGTCACTTCTTCTAGAGCGTTCCATGATATTTTAAAATGAAACTTCAATTGTTCTAAATGCTCCTATATTTCTCGAAGGTTCTTCATAATCACATTATTCAATGGTCCACACTCACTGAACTCTGCCGTCGTGCTTCCAGACGTCATATTTATACCAACATTCAAACATAGTTCTATTCTCCTTTAAACAATCTTTGATTTCGTTTCACTTTTAACAATAATCATGAATACTAATGAGTTTTAATAATAATTGTTGACGGGCTCAAGTTATTTTCATGTCGCATCCATTTTTAAAGCTGATAGCGCCGATATATATATACTAGAAGACCGGGCGAACTTCGTATCGCCCTATAATCAAGAAATATCTGTTACGTTTTTTTATGTATATTTTTGGAGTTTACCTATTAAAGCCATAGACCCCCGTGTTTTGAGGTGCGACAGAATGATTGACATATTAGTTAGTTGTCAAATCTGATGTAAAAAAAAGTTTGTATCAACAACTAATAAATTAAGAATTAATTAAAAAAACATTGTCAAAATTGTGAATCTAAACTATTCCCAGATCCCCTTGGACACACACAAAAAATTTCATCAAAATCGGTCCAATCGTTCGAGAGAAGTTCAGTGACATGCACACTCACAGAAGTATTATATATAAAGATATCTTATTATTAATTTCAGTGCATGACATCAATGTGGTCCGGTGCGTTAGAGCGTTGTTCTCCCGAGCTATTACTTCGAGCGGCTTCAGCGCTGCCCGACGCTTCTGCCCAGGAGAGAGCATTAGACGCTGCTACCAGCTTACTAAAGAATAATGAATTAGACGAAAACAGCTCATTAGACGGTTAGTAGACTTCTTATACAGTAATACCCCGCTTTACGCGAGTGATACGTTCCGAAGAAAATCGCGTTAACTGAAATTCGCGTATATCGAGGTTTATGACTAAACACAGTCAAAATTTTATACACAAATCATTTTAATCAATCACTTTAATTCTAAGAACACTATACAATACATAGGTACTCCTATTTTTTACGAAAAAATACATGTATTGTCTTTTGGGTAGCGTTTTGTTTACGTTCTTGTAAAATAAGTTTATAACACCCAACACTGTTTTTAATTGTTTGACACACGGTCAAGGCGCGGTCATTATTATTATCTATACTCTGCAATATGTCCAAATCTGAATATTTTTTTAAAATTCGCGTTATAGTGAAACCGCGTATAACGGGGTCGCGTTAAGCGGGGAATTACTGTACTTAAATTCACTTTCAATTGTAAAATGTTTAAATTCTGATAATTATAAGTATTTATTTTATGTTCACTCCATGAAACTGTCCAAAAGTGGAAACTATGTTGGCTTATGTAATCATTGAAATGTGAAAAATTATTATGATGTGTATATGCTGTTTGTTTCCCAATAAATAAATAACGGTCTAGTCTAGACTGATAGTTATAGACTTAGTAAGTCTAGATGTATGTTTAAAAGTCTTCGTCTGATTTGAAGTTATAACAAATAATTGTTAAGCATTAATTATTAAGTAAGGAAACTACCAATGACTTAGACTTAAGAGTCTAAAGAGTATTTGAGTTATACATAGTTCTTGCTGTAATCAGTTGCGGCCGGTGGGTAATCGAACCGGTGGTGCACTTTACTAAAATATTAAAATTAGAAAATGCAACAAAACAAAACATATAACGAGATGTCAATCTCAATTCGTCATACATCGGGTGCTCTCGGTAATCTTCGGCCGCTCGTGCGGAGCTCGAGAACCGACTCATTACTCGGTACATTTCTATGAACTATCTTTTGTTTCACGCGTCAGGCGTATTAATGCGTATCTCATACAAGATGTATTAGCAGTCCTCGTGCACTCGCCGGAGCGCACGAGATATTAGTTTAGTAAAGCGTTCAAACTTTTTGACTATAATTAGAAATTTAATTTTTTATACGTTTTTGTACGTTTAGAAAATAAATATTAAAATGGTAATTTAAAAATAAAGATGAAGTAATATTTTGTAATTTTTAAATCTTTTGAATTGGTGGTTCAGCGCACGAGTGCACTTAAGGTACAGCCGCCACTGGCTGTAATCATACATAAGTGAAAATGACAACGCAATTATTTGTATTTTATGATATCTAAGTTTTTGTGTATTCATTTAAACTAAAGTATTCGTATATTACTGCATGTTTATTATAATTTATATGAAGTTTTCGTCTCGTTATCAGTCGCTGTAAATTAAACTTAGATATAAAATAGTAAAAAAAATACGTATAAAAGTATAGTGCGTTTGATTTAAGCTGAGCTTTGCATTTGTGTGAGTGCACACGGATAGTGTAGGTGTGATGTCTAATCTTTGAATGCCACGTTCTTTTCTAGTTTTTAATCAGTTTATTCTGCTTTTACTCCGCCCCGCACCTTCCTCACTTCACCCTTTGTAATAGTAGCAATATAAAATGTTGAAAACGCAAAGTCATGTGAATTGGAATTTGTAGTTTTTTCAAAATTCTTATTAATCAATATTTTTTTTTCCTCAATATTCAAAATATTTCCATCTGGCCTTTTACAAGTTTTGCTTATTTTATAGCACTTATGTTATGTATCTATGTAAAATATAATAAAATGTAATTCTAAAAGTTTTTTGTCTAACTCAACTTTTACTTTCACTCACACAAATGCAAAGCTCAGCTTAGGTCTAACGGACTATATACGAAAAACTTACTTTTATAAAATACTATCTTTCCGCCCGCAGCTTCGCCCGCGTGGAGTTCTGTTATATCGCGGTTCCAAGAGAACCTTTCAAAAGTCTGGGACAAAACTATCCTATATTCTTTCTCAAGGTCAACTCTGTCTGTACCAAATTTCATTAGAATCAGTTCAGTGGTTTAGGCGTGAAAGCGTAACAGACAGACAGACAGAGTTACTTTCGCATTCATAATATTAGTAGGGATTTTCATCTCATTATCAGTCGCTGTAAATTAACTTAAACTTAGATATAAAATAGTAAAAAAGTATACAAGAAACTTAGTTTTACATAATATTAATATTAAATATAATATTTTTTGCAGGTATGGAGCGTTGTTGGTCCTATCTAAGCGCTATGTGGTCAGCTTTGAACATGTCGTCGGTAGAGGGCGCCTCTTGTACGAGGGACGTGTTGCTACACTCGTGCTTCGCCCTGGACGCACTCGCGAGGGCCCTGGCTGCTGATGGGGCGGCGTTACAGCATGTTATGTTGGTGGGTATAGGATTTAAATGAAACTAATATTTTCTGAATACTATGCTATATCACGGTTGCTGCAAAGTAACCGAAACGTCGGGAGTATGTAGTTAAAATAATAATAGTAGTTTCATTTAAATGTATATTATTGAAAGTCTTAGATTTCATTATGTAACGATGTCCAATCGTCTGCTTTTAATCAAAGTTTCATCAACGTTTGCCGTTTTTTCTCTTTCACAATACATATTAGGGCGATTTCAGACTAGCGTTTTTTTCAGCGCGTATACGGTCGTTTCAGTCTACGCGCTTACACGCGCGCTACATTACGCGCTTCAAAAAACCAGACGCGCGTAAACGCGCATATTTCGGCGTGTTCGCTCGAACCGGTGGTATCGTGTCAGTATCAACATGGCTTCTGACGAAGAAACATTACATTTTGCGTTACTTATTCGCCGTCGACTGAGACGACGGAAAAAGTGCTGGGTGTCACCGATAGTTGCATCAAGACTGATAACCGGTCACTTTAATACATTTTACCCAGAACTGCGAAGTGATTCTAAACGATTTAAAAATTACTTTAGAATGTCTTTGAGCACTTTTGATATATTGTTAAATATGTTAAAATCACAGTTAGATCATAAGGATACTGTGTTAAGGAAAAGCATATCTGCTGAAGAGAGGCTTGTAATCACAATAAGGTGGAAGTGGGCGCGCGGGGAGATGTCTCTCGCGGCTCGCGCTTATACGAGCTTAGAAGCGCGTCAACGCTCGTACGAGTTGAGCGTGTGCCAAAAGGCGCGCCTATACGCGCCTACATGCGCTTCCAAAAACCAGCTCATACGCGCGTATAAAACGCTAGTCTGAAACCGCCCTTATATCTAGAGATTTTTGGCACAGCCCAAAACAAATCGAAATAATCTTTATCTATTTTCAAGTTTTAACAATGAAATACTATAAGTACATCTGTAATCACAAATCTTTTATTCACAATTCACTTCAATAACTTAACAATGACCTCTTCTATATTAGTCCAGTCATTTAAGCTTAAATTAGGTAAGAATCTCGGAATTCGAGATACCCAGCTGTAAGTCTGTAAATAGTTGTATATTGACAGCCTAAAAGTTGTCTCAAAACCTACATATGGTAGGGTGTAAGCAACTATTAAATTTCAGGGTCAAAGTTCACTAAAATCGGTTTTTTGCGCTTTTTTTGGAAATATCTCACTTCCTATGGGTTTTTTGCTATTTGTATTTATTATCAATATTGTAGAATACTAAATTCTCTACAAATTTTGTTTCAAAAAAATTTTTTATACGGTGTACCGTTTTCGAGATAGAGGGCGGAGAGCGCGCGGTCACCGCATCACTTCAGGTCAACCGGTGCCTCCGGTCGAAAACGCGCCATATATAGTTGATGAACTATCAATAAATCAATGATTATAAATATTTGTCAATTTTTATTAACTATTATATTATATTTTATCATTTTTTCCTAACTTATCCACTTTTTATTCAGTATTAATTTATTTAACAACATTTACCTGTCCATGTAATTGCAGAATTGTTAATGAAATTATAAGAATTATATTTGAATTTTAACCTAATTAATATTAATAACTTCTTACATGATGAAAAAAAAACAAATAAATTATGAATTAATCTTTTTATAAAAAAATATCATTGAATAAATTATTTTTTATTGAAAGTAAAAAAATGGAATAAAGGGTACAAAAACTACAATTTATAATTTTAAACATCTTCTTCCTCTTCATCGTCGTCTTCTGGCTGCTGGTAAATTTCAAATTGGTCTTCATTATCGTCTTCAACGACATTTGTCTCAAGTTCTTCCATGATTTCGGGATCAACGGTTCCATCTTCGTTAATGTCGCTCTGATATGGTTGAGCTTTGAGACAAGCTTGCCCATTACATTGGCCACAAGCTAAAGAGCATTGCAAGCCCGCTTTCCTGCATCCGCATCGCGAACCACAACCACTTTTGCAGTTGCAGAAAGTTGTATTTAGCAAATTTTTTGGAGCAGGTGGTAAAATTGTCATGATAGGCTCCAGAAAATCATTTCGCATTGCCCAACCCCATACCTGGGGTTCCAAATCATGTCCTAACCAAGTTTGAACTTGATAATACACACGGTTGAAATGTTGATGCGCGCTCTCCGCCCTCTATCTCGAAAACGGTACACCGTATAAAAAAATTTTTGAAACAAAATTTGTAGAGAATTTAGTATTCTACAATATTGATAATAAATACAAATAGCAAAAAACCCATAGGAAATGAGATATTTCCAAAAAAAGCGCAAAAAACCGATTTTAGTGAACTTTGACCCTGAAATTTAATAGTTGCTTACACCCTACCATATGTAGGTTTTGAGACAACTTTTAGGGTGTCAATATACAACTATTTACAGACTTACAGCTGGGTATCTCGAATTCCGAGGTGAACTTACTATAATGACTGGACTATATAGTATTAACAAGTATTGATAGTTTTGACCAGCATAACGAAAGCTGATAATCGATACAAGAAGAGCTGATTTGACCTGGAACATAATAATAATATTATTTCCAGCCGTCCGATCAAAAAACCTGATAGTTAATAAATATTATGAGAGTATTTTTGACCTGGAATATTTCCAGCCGTCCGATCATCATCAAGAGCTGGGCCAGCTGCATGAAGCTATTCAGTCCAGCTGTTCGTCGCTCCAGCAGCAGCTGAAGAGTGTGAGGCGCAGGTTACAACCTGGAGTCAAGCTGTCCACACTACCTATAGATGCACAGGTTAGATAGTTATATGTTATTAATACTGAAGATTATATATATATACTAGAAGAGCCGGCGAACTTCGTATCGCCCTATAATCAAGAAATATCTGTTACGTTTTTTTATTTATATTTTTAGAGTTCACCTATTAAAGCCATAAATCTCCGTGTTTTGAAGTGCGACAGAATGATTGACATATTAGTTAGTTGTCAAATCTAATGTAAAAAAAAAACGTTTGTATCAACAACTACTAATAATTAAAAATTAATTAAAAAAACATTGTCCAGTGGACAAAATTGTGAATCTAAACCATTCCCAGATCCCCTTGAACACAAAATCGGTCCACTCGTTTGAGAGAAGTTCAGTGACATACACACTCACAGAAGAATTATATATATAAAGATATATATACACATACTATATTCACTGTATAAGTAGAGTATATATAAGGAATATATCCCTTCATAGAGTTTTAAAACAGACTCATATATTACAAGTAAAACCATTCTTTATACTAGTGACATGTTACTACATATATCTATTTAGAATCAGAAGTTTGCTATGATTTCCTAATATATTTATGTATAAATTTTTATATATAGCGGGTGACATCTAAAACATTATATATTCAGAATTCAGAGATATTTTCTAAAAATAATTTCGTAATAATTTCATACGATGTAATTAAAATGTATTGAAAGCCTGTAATCCTCTTAAGCCTTTTATATTTTGATCTCTACCAAGTGACTAATTTAATGCTTTAAAATCATTCTACTTATTTTCCATCTACCCTCATATACAACGTGTAACATAATTAACGCACACCCTGAAAGTAGTTTGATCAGAATCGGATACTGGATCGATTTTGATAGTTTTTTATGTAGGTCATTTTTTTTCTCAAATTTAGATAGAACTAAGTAAATTATAGTCACCCTACACACAGTTATCTAAACACTTCATAGAAACGAAAATTAATGGAAACGAAAATGGATCGTAAGTCAGGGTATTAAGATTTTTAAAATGAAATATTTAATTAGTAATCATCATTCAATTAAAGAAAACTGATACTTATTTCAAGGCTAAAATAGTATTTAATAATAAATACGCACGCAACACCATAGCGACAACCGGCACACAGCAAGGTCACTACAGTGCATAAAAGAAAGCCGCGTAATACAAAAATTATTACTTTCTCCTTCTTTCTTCGGCTTAATAACATTACAATAGAGCGAGACGGCAGGCATAATTCCGGGAATCAGAGTAATAATAACTAAACATCGAAGTCAACAAAATGTGTTTTGGGTAAGTTAGTCACGCCGCGTCCACCTTATCGAAAAGAGGTCAAGTGTAAAGTGCAAATAAAATCTTAGTCGCGCATTTCGCTGTCGTTTCGGTACACTAACATTCAATACATCAAGTACCTACGCACGTGTCCATTGACCTCCTAGATCAGCTAATTTGACGCGACTCGACTTTTTTTTGTGGGGGCGAATTAAATCGCTAGTTTATAACACAGAGATAACAAGTGCCGCGGAACTAAAAAATAAGATAATAACCGCCTTTGTAAAAGTGAAAAGTGACATTGCAGTATTATCTAAAATAAAACCACAATTGCGAAAACGGTCATTAAAGTGCATTAAACAAGGCGGTGGACATTTTGAAAATGTTTTAAAACGACAACGCTGTGCGAGTGCAAATTAAACTGTAAGTTTGTTTATGATCTTTAAATTATTGTAAATATTTTGATACACACCATTTAAACAGGCCGACTGTGTTTAACTTTGTCGTAGGTATTGTGGTGTCTATTCAAATCACGCGTTATCAGCTGTTTAATAATTCTTATTTACAAATTTAATTAAAAAAAATCATTAATTATAAAATATTGGCTTCACATTAAAAAGAAAATTCAATGTCAACAATCTAAAGCTTGAAAAGTGTGATGGAAAGAAAAATCATAATGTATGTAGTTATTTCGTGTACTTATTATTACCTACTTCTTATTATTGTCGGACGGCACTCGGAGAGAGGGGCGAGGGCGCGGCGAGTACAGAGTGTCGCTGAATAGCGGACCATATTATTTGCACGAAATTGGGATAACTAATTTCACAAATAAAAAATTCAAACGCACATATAAATAATATTTGGTGTATGCATTGCGTTTATATCATTATATACGCATTGGGGTATTTGAGAGTGTGCGTTAATTACGTTACACGTTGTATATATACATGTTCATAACCTGTTACAGCTCGTGGATCGTCTCCGAGGCTCTACAGCGGCGTCCCTCAGTAAGTGCGCACGCGCAGCCTCACTCGCGGCCCGCGCCGCCAGCGCCTGCGCCGACACCGCCGGGGAGAGGGGCGAAGGCGCTCCGCTTGCACACGCAGCCCTACAAGCGGTGTGGTTGGCGGCCCTTGATAAGATATACCAGCAGGTAATGATGAGTTTTATGAGTTTGATGAGTTTTATGAGTTCGATGAGTTTGATGAATTTGATGAAGCACTATGAATGTTAAATATTTGGGATAGAGCATAGCTATGGTCAAGTTACTGCAGTTAATACATGTGCTGGCTAGACCGGGGAAGTACCACAATTATAGATTGGTGTGAAGTAGCCTTTAATAGGTTTTGTATGATGAGTGAAAGAGACGGTTGTCTTTTCCCTCACTATGTCTATACACAACGCTACCTTTTTCTGGGTCTCACCGCTTTTAAACCCCTATAAGGCCCACTAGCGGCGTTATTTTTTTAGAATGATATGATTTTACCTCCACAATTGGGTTACAATCTTTGGGAAAGGCTTGTCTATACTACATCTAATACTATTTTAATTCAATGAGAATTGGCTTTTGCTCAGTAAACTCTGATAGGCTGATGATGATAATGATATATTTTTATCACCAGGAGGAGCAAGGCGTTGTGAAAACGGTGAAGAACGCGTTATCACAAACAGCCAAGGACGTTGAGGCGTTGGCCAACTTCGTGAGGGACCGCGAGTACGACTTGATGTCGAGCACCAATGGAGCTGATGATACGGTATGACTTTGAATGATATTATAGACCTTCGACCCTAGATTAATGTAGGGTGATTTGAAAAAGGACAAAGTTAATATATATATATATACAACGTGTAACGTAATTAACGCACACCCTCAAATACCCCAATGCGTATATAATGATATAAACGCAATGCATACACCAAATATTATTTATATGTGCGTTTGAATTTTTTATTTGTGAAATTAGTTATCCCAATTTCGTGCAAATAATATGGTCCGCTATTCAGCGACACTCTGTACTCGCCGCGCCCGCGCCCCTCTCTCCGAGTGCCGTCCGACAATAATAAGCAGTAGGTAATAATAAGTACACGAAATAATTACATACATTATGATTTTTCTTTCCATCACACTTTTCAAGCTTTAGATTGTTGACATTGAATTTTCTTTTTAATGTGAAGCCAATATTTTATAATTATTGATTTGTTAAATTAAATTTGTAAATGAGAATTATTAAACAGCTGATAACGCGTGATTTGAATAGACACCACAATACCTACGACAAAGTTAAACACAGTCGGCCTGTTTAAATGGTGTGTATCAAAATATTTACAATAATTTAAAGATCATAAACAAACTTACAGTTTAATGTGCACTCGCACAGCGTTGTCGTTTTAAAACATTTTCAAAATGTCCACCGCCTTGTTTAATGCACTTTAATGACCGTTTTCGCAATTGTGGGATTATTTTAGATAATACTGCAATGTCACTTTTCACTTTTACAAAAGCGGTTATTATCTTATTTTTTACTTTTACTTGTTATCTCTGTGTTATAAACTAGCGATTTAATTCGCCCCCACAAAAAAAAGTCGAGTCGCGTCAAATCAGCTGATCTAAGAGGTCAATGGACACGTGCGTAGGTACTTGATGTATTGAATGTTAGTGTACCGAAACGACACAGCGAAATGCGCGACTAAGATTTTATTTGCACTTTACACTTGACCTCTTTTCGATAAGGTGGACGCGGCGTAACTAACCCAAAACACATTTTGTTGACTTCGATGTTTAGTTATTATTACTCTGATTCCCGGAATTATGCCTGCCGTCTCGCTCTATTGTTATGTTATTAAGCCGAAGAAAGAAGGAGAAAGTAATAATTTTTGTATTACGCGGCTTTCTTTTATGCACTGTAGTGACCTTGCTGTGTGCCGGTTGTCGCTATGGTGTTGCGTGCGTAGTTATTATTAAATACTATTTTAGCCTTGAAATAAGTATCAGTTTTTTTTAATTGAATGATGATTACTAATTAAATATTTCATTTTAAAAATCTTAATACCCTGACTTACGATCCATTTTCGTTTCCATTAATTTTCGTTTCTATGAAGTGTTCAGATAACTGTGTGTAGGGTGACTATAATTTACTTAGTTCTATCTAAATCTGAGAAAAAAATGACCTACATAAAAAACTATCAAAATCGATCCAGTATCCGATTCTGATCAAACTACTTTCAGGGTGTGCGTTAATTATGTTACACGTTGTATATATATATATATATATATATATATATATATATATATATATATATATATATATATATATATATATATATATAATAGCGTAGTGTATATTGCACAATTTGTATGATGACCTTGCATTTATATTAACCGACTTTTAACAGTAGTTTAAATAGATTTAAATTATAATATAGGACATTTTGGAAATAGATGAAACCTCTCATCATTCAATGTATTCACGGTGCGTGTGTCGGGTCCATCGTTGTAGTGAGAGGAGCTTCAACAGTGACTGGGACTTGTGACCCAGGTGTAGGTTTAAGGGCTTTTTATGTGTCGTAAACAATTTGTATGATATGTCAGTTTATAAACGGCTTGGCATTTTGAAAACTAACACTAAAAATGAATCGGCAAAATATGAAATGCCCTCCAAATGTTATAAAATATAAATGAAATGACGATAATTTTGCAATTTTTGTATAACTCTTTATGTTTATAATATACTTGCGATAAACATAACCAAATTTTTACATGATTTAATTGTATATACATATGTTTATACTAGCTTTCCGACCGCAGCTTCGCCCGCGTCGAGTTCGGTTATATCGCGTTTCCATTATAACCTTTCAAAAGTCTGTGATAAAAACTATCCTATGTTCTTTCTCAAGGTCAACTCTATGTCTGTACCAAATTTCATTAAAATCAGTTCAGTGGTTTATGCGTGAAAGCGTAACAGACAGACAGACAGAGTTACTTTCGCATTTATAATATTAGTAGGGATAATTGAATCCAGCCTTACTATCAGTGATAAATATAAAATTCTTTTAAATCTTTTCTATTCTCATTTCTATCACTTTAAGCCGATTTTAACTATATCACATACTTATTGTTTCAGCCGACTCCGCCTATAGTACTCCGAGCACAGTTAGTGAAGAAACAGCTTGAAGAAACAAAGACCTTGACTATAAGACTGGAGAATAAGGAGGCTGATATTAAGGAATTGAAGAAGGCGCTTAAGGTATGGAGAATATTAATATATTGTAGTCTTATTGCTGGAGAAGCTGATTAAATGATGTATTTTCCGGCTGAGTAGTTAACAGCTGGAAATTTTGATCTTAGTAGTCTACTTGATAGAATTGGTTGTTGTATAGATAGTTATGACGAAGGCAATATATATATATATACAGGGTGACTGGTGAATTACTATCGATACTTGAGGACGTGATATTTGACGATCATATATGACAAAATCAAAATTAATATAACATAAATATTAATAAACTTCTAAGTAAAGTTAACATACGCACGCGTATGTGTGTGTGTGAGTGTATATCTATCTGTGTATATTATCTGTGTATATAATCTGTAGGGTGTTCACACGATGCGTAATTAATTACATAACTTTTGGTTAACTTTACTTAGAAGTTTATTAATATTTATGTTATATTAATTTTTATTTTGTCATATATGATCGTCAAATATCACGTCCTCAAGTATCGATAGTAATTCACCAGTCACCCTGTATATACATGTATATATTTTTGTACATAATGCAATATAATTCAGAAATCATATTGCAAACAAAATTGAGCTTTAATATTAGTGCTATTAAGACTAGAAATTAGTAGAAATTAGTATTTATTCTATCAAGTAATCTATCGGTTGCCTTTGGATGGGTGAGCGGATATTACAAAATATTAATTCAGTTATCAATAAGAGACGTTAATTTGTTAGTAACTTTTAGATTCGATCTTGTAGATATAACTGAATCTATGAGATATGGCCAAACACAAACAATTAAATAGATAATTAATTATAGATATAGACCATCAATAACTTTTCTATAGATAAGAATTACCATAATTAATGAGATCTAAGACTTTCGCGGATATTCATTTATATGGAATTAATATTATCAGATTACTACACGTTAATTTATTATTTTGAAAACTATAAGTAAGACCAACTGACAGACATTCGCATCTCGTCTTTATGATCACATTTTCTGAAAAGTAGCCTAAACGTAACGAATATTTAGTTAAAATAATAAAAAAAGTTTAGTAATCTGAAAATATTACTTTCATTACCCTAATAATGCAATCTGTACTCATTCAACTGACTATAAAATAGTTAAAAACTTGATATTTTTTGCAGGCGAAACAAGAAGAATTATCTGAAATGCAAATTAGGCGGGAACTTGGTGAGAGGAAACTTGTAGCTGCTGCGAGGGACGCGGAGTTGAAGTCACAGCAGTTACAGCGGCGGCTGGACGACGCTCAGAACCAGTTTAAGAGGTGATTAACACCTGGAACAACACCTGGAAATGGTGTTAGATTAGATATTAGACACCTGGAAATGGTGTAATTGGTCATTAGACACCTGGAGATGGTGTAAATTAGTTATTAGACACCTGGAAATGGTGTAAATTAGTTATTAGACACCTGGAAATGATGTTAAAATAGTTAATTTAGAGTCCTGGAAATGATATTAGCTTTGTTATCATGAGATTTCTGGTCCTTGAGACTTTATCATATCAGTAGTGTATATATACAACATAAGAGTTACTATATGTACGATATATAATAATGTTTTGTTTTATATTTATATCTTGGAACACCTGGAAGTTATAAGGCGTTATCAAAAGATAGGAAAAGGAGAGTAATTACTAGTACCTTAACGAAGGAGGGTATATCTTTTCTAAAAAGTACTGTATTCTTGATTATAAACTGCGTTTCTATAAGATTTTTATACTTATCGACGCAGCAATATCGAAATAAATAATTTATATAATGTTATGTCAGGATTTAAACACCTGGAAACTTCTGGTATTTTCCAGGAAAGAGAAAGAGTTTGAGGAGACTATGGATCACCTTCAACAAGATATAGATCTACTTGCCAGTGAACGAGGAGCTCTTAGGGATAAGCTGAAGTTATACGCTAAGAGGTCACATCACGGTCAGTATACACCCTGTATATATATATATATATATATATATATATACATATATATAGTAGTTAGTACATACTAACTCCAAGATTATATTATTGATTTATATGTCCAAGTATTTCATGTAATATAATACAGTACATAATTATTATTTTCTATTATAAACAGTATAAGTACCAAAAAATATCATCTATATCAGGATTTCCCAGCCTTTATTTCACTGAGCCTCCCCAATTCAAAAATAAAATTCTCATGCCCCCTTAAGTTAAAAACACACTTTTTTTTTACAACTATATTATTTATTTGAATTAAAATTAAAAACAAAGAGTTCCATACAGATATTTGTAGATATTTAAGTTTAAGGATCTAATAAGAGAAGATATATGTAGCTACTCGAAAACCATTAATTACTTTCATATTTAGGTAAATATGCTAGTTTTATTTTAATTATTAATGAGATACTTGAGCTTGCATCTTCTGTACCAGTATGTCGATTCTGGGTTCAGCCTTTGTTAGAGCAATTGTTAAATTGGATTTGATTCTTTTCATACAAGCCAAAGGGTTGTGTCGACGGCCCGGCGGGCTTAGTGTGTATTGCGCTTGAGTACTATTTCCGAAAATTAAACGTACCGATTACGCGCCCCTGGTATTCCTCTATGCCCCCCTGGTTGGGAACTCCTGATTTATATAGTAAAAGAATTTTATATATATATATATATATATATATATATATATATATATATATATATATATATATTATTTGTATGTGTGTTATAATATAAAAATATGTGCAGCTCTATCGTCGCCGGTAGCTGCGAGGGAATACCCACGTAAGGCGCATGATATGTGTTCAGTGTCACAGATTAAATATAAATATAGCATGATGATATCACTAAAAAGTTTTTATATATAACTTTGGCTGAATGAAAATTTCCTTTGCATTTTCGATTTTGATTGATTTTTTATCTATATAAATAATAATTATTATATTAATCTATTGATTTGGGTGTGTATGTCTGTCAGCGTCGCCGGTGGCGCCATCTCCGAGAGACATCCGTAAGAGTTTTATCGCGTTTGACTCAGCATGGCTTTGTGTCTTTTGAATACTACATTCAGTTTTGTTAATGTATTAAAACTACATATACCTAATGTTATTAATTATGCATTTGCTTGCATTTTTTTTAGCGGTTAAAAATTGTCATCTCGCTCATACTCTGTTATAATATATTTCTGTCTCACTCACACTGACCTATTACTGATAATTAACTTTACATGGTTATGAAATAGATAATGAAATGTTCATTTTTTATTGTTCTATAGAAATATTAGCCAATAGGGAAGCTTTTATCAATAATGAATATTGATAGTGGCCAATAGATGTGCTTTTTTTAATTATGACCATTAATTTTCATTTAAAAGACTTGCTTCTTTGAAATATGACAAAAAATAGTGGCCCATATATGTACTTCTATATATTATGACAACTTCCCAAAGAGGGTTGATGTCAGGCAGGCGGCCGGTCGTAAAAATAATTAATTAACCAAAGCTATTCACAACATGTAAGGCAGACCCTGGCTAAAAGCTGGGAAATTGCCAGGTAGAAGAAGATATATTAAGACAAATATTAGCTTGTAAGAGTAATCTTTTATGGCAATGAGGACATCTAAATACACAATCAAAAGTGTTATATTTTGTCGCTTATTTATATCTACAACAGAGTTGAAAATTCTTTAACATTTTGTCAGTTTGATTTCAATGCATGTTAAAAATGATTTTTATACTATATTTTACTCATTTTTGTGATGGCTTTTATTGTTTTCAGCATAGTTAATCAAGAATTAATATAATTAATTTTGTGACTAATTTTATTTGTATAGAAATTTTTATTGGGTTTCGCAATTGAGTTATATTTCGCAATAGTTTTTTATATAGGGTTGATAGTATGAAGACAATTTTTTTGATACCAAAAAGAGTATTTACTGAAATATTCTGAATTCTGAAGTTTCTAGTGCCAAGGAATTATGTAGATAGTTTTTTTGTTTGTCATTGTCTTTTTGTAAATATTTATACTTCCTATAGAATTTTCAATAATTAATTTAGATGTACAAAAAAAAAATTAATACTATGGTAGAGAGAGGAACTTGGACGGTGGAGGTGAGCGTTTAACGCGTTAGATAGGGACCCTTAAACCTACACCTGGGTCACAAGTCCCGGACACTGTTGAAGCTCCTCTCACTACAACGATGGACCCGACACATACGCCGTGAATACATTGAATGATGAGAGGTTTTTTACTCTTGGGATGTTTTATAAATAACGAGTCGATTGCGAAACCCATATTATATACATGTATATATTATATTCGATTATAATTCCAGAAGAAACACCAGTCAAAGTTACACCGGGAGTTCCCCCGGGAGAGGTGAACGAGGCTTTGCAGCACCAGCTTAAAGTACTTAGCTGGTAAGTATCACTCACTTAATATGAAACTATGATAAATTACAAAGATTATTAGTTATATAGAAATAAATAGCAGGTTTTGTATATGGGACTTCTGGAATGTAGAGTTTAGGTTGCTTTGCAAATTAAGTTTGTCTTAAGTATATTATTAAAATTTGTAAATATGTCAGTTTAGTATAGTTATATATAAGATATAATATTGTGATTTGGATGACACAATCAATTAAATGATTAATGGTTTCTTTATCGTTAGGTTTTCTACCAAGCTTATAGTCTATATTAGATTCACAATAAAAAGCTTACAACACGAACCTATAAGAAAAGGAACGACATTTAATGATATTCATTTAAAATGTGGATTCTAATATCACAATTTAAATAAATGACCTATTTTAGAAGGTCTCTTCTTGGTAAACCACAGATAAAAATATTCTGTGTTTGTCTATGACACGTTGAGAAAACTATATTATCTTTACATATATAATAATTAGTGATTTTCTAAACAACAAAACGATATCTAGCCTACCATCTAAGAAACGATTAAGAACCCATATATTAGATGATTTCACTGATCTTATTTAATATCACTACTGTTATTTGTAATCTTAATTGTAGTTATAATTTTTAAAATTTCCTTTGTTAGCGAACTTTGTTTTTTTTGGAAATAAACTTCTTTAAACCTATGTTAGCCTACTCTTATTATATCTAATACTTATACATCAGGGCTGTTGAACGTGAGCGCGCGGCCCGTGTGTCGGCCGTGAGTCGGGCGGAGCGCGCGGCCCTGAGGGCGCTTCGCCCCCTGCATCACCCGGGCGCTCCGGAACATGCTAGAAGGAGGGCGGCTGCCGCTAGCTTGGAGAAGGAACTGGCGAAATTACAAGCTGTGAGTATAGATGAGTTTGGACTATATAGATAGGATATGATGATGAAGGATAGATAGATGATAGGTAGATCTTTCTTGGACTATTCAGAGCGATCATCACTTAGAATATGACGATGAAGTAATACACTCCAAAAATGAGATCGAAGACGAAACTAATAATTTCGGATTACTACGCGTTCTTTTCTTTAGTCAGCGGTGGCCTAGTGGTTAAGGGGCTCGCCTCGTTGCCGAGGGCGCGGGTTCAAAACCTTGGCAAGTACCAATGTGATTTTTCGGAGTCATATATACTTTCTGAGAGTATTTAGACACCACTGACGTGAAGGAAAACATCGTGAGGAAACCTGGACTTATAGTTTCACAATTATAAGTTTGAAATCACCAAACCGTCTTGAGCAAGCAAACCTTCTCCATGTGAGAAAGAGGCTTTGCTCAGCAGTGGGCTTCTGATAGGCTGATAGGCACGCGTTCTTTTATTATTTTAACTACATACTCCAGACGTATCTGTTACTTTTCATCAATCGTTATCAGGCAGACGAAATGGAAATGTGGTTCTGGAAATATTCAGATCAGATAGATAGATCTTTTATTAAATACGCATATAAAATTTGGTAAGATCGGTAAATCCGTTTCTGAGGTGTACGGGAACTAATATTGTGACAAGGAAATGTTATATATTAGACTAGCTAACCCGGCAGACTTCGTATCGCCCTATAATCAAGAAATATCTGTTAAATTTTTTTTATTTATATTTTTGGAGTTTACGTATAAGCCATAAATCTCCGTGTTTTGAAGTGCGACAAAATGAATCACATATTAGTTAGTTGTCAAATCTAATGTCAAAAAAAACGTTTGTATGGGAAATAAAAAAGCGCTGTTTTTAGGGTTTTCCCGGAAATTAATAAAAATTTTTCAGCTTTTAAACCTTCTCTGAACCTCCACGAACATTTCAAGACTAAGATAAGATAAATCCGTTCAGCTATTCTCGAGTTTTAGTGAGACTATCGAACAGCAATTTATTTTTATATATAAAGATATGTGTGGATATTAAAATTCTTATTCTTCATCCAGGAGTGGACTCTGTTCGTGGCTAGATCAGGTTTGGTGAAGTTCCCGTCGGAGCCAGGACAGTACGCGCGGGCCCTGGAGCAACACAAGGAGAAACAAAAACGAACGAGGAGACAACTGGAGGTAAGTTTGAAGTATTGATAATATTGAATAACTAGAAATTGTGAAGATTTCCATATTTAACCCTGTATTTGTATCTATACAATATATATAACACACTGTCTCACGTACCCCACTAGAGGGGATGCATGCGCTCGGCAGACTCACGACTAGCGTGACACAGAACGGGGACGTGCGTGCGTTCAAGGCGGGGCAGTAGTGAGACAGTGACTTGTTATACTTACATGACCAGGGATCCTACAAACCCTTTAACGGTCATAAGGAGTGGATACTACATAGAAAAACAAAATTGATGTTGCTTAGGGTATATAATAGAAGTAAAAATATATGTATATATAAATATATTTGTCAAACTGTCTATTGACAATCATGAAATTTACGACCGGTTGACGAAATTTCGGTTGAAAAATAAAATAAAATCATGGTTGTGAAAATATCTATATGAAGGGTTAAGACTACCAGGTCGAAACCTTTCAGTATGAATGTATTATAAAGAGGAAGCCGCATAATCATGATATATATAGTTCGCGAGGTTTAAGCTGAGCTTTGCATTTATGTGTGAAAGTAAAAGTAGAGTTAGACAAAAAACATTTAGAATTACATTTTATTATATTTTTAAAAGATAGATAAGTGCTATAAAATAAGCAAAACTTGTAAAAGACCAGATGTAAATATTATGTGAAGAAAAATAGACTAATTTAATAATAAAAAATGTTAGAATATACGAATTCTTCTTCACTTGACATTGCGTTTTCAACATTTGATTTTGCTACCAATACAAAGGGTGTAGTGAGGAAGGTGCGGGGCGAAGTAAAAGCAGAATAAACCGGTTCAAAACTAGAAAAGAACGTGGCATACAATAATTTGACATCACACCTACACTATCCGTGTACACAAATGCAAAGCTCAGCTTAAATCAAACGCACTATACAATATTTAGGTGTTTGTTTGTTTAATATTAACTTCTGCTTCATTTTCTAGGAGAAGCTGGTTCGCCTACAGCTTGAAGCCCGTTCGTTGCTGTTAACACACCGTCCTTGGCGCGTCTCATTAGCTGACCTCGCGTGTTTCCCGGCACCCGACTTGGCAGCGGTTAGTATATATAGAAAAAATACTTAATAAACACCAATATCTGGTTATTAACGGCCTCTAGGGCGTCATAGAGTTCGGCCGGTCTATATATATATGTATTACTGATGTCGAAACTAGAGAAGAGAAAGTCGCGGGCAAAAACTAGTTGAATGTATTTTATAAGTAAAACAGATTTTTCTTGCATCCTTCGCTGTCACCAAAGGTAATTTGTTTCTTATGCTAAGTAATAAAAAAAGGAATGTTTTTACTTGCAACATATGACCATATTCTTCATTCTTCAGTATTAATAACATATAACTATCTAACCTGGGTGTACAAAAATCATCATAACATATGTACATACATACCAGATTTCTTAACAAAAGGTTTCTGTTTAAACCACATATAGTAATAATTAAGAATTACTATTATATAGTGTTTAATATTATTAATCAATATTCACAAATGTTCGTAGTAATAAGATGTAAGACTTTACGAGTATTCATTTAAATGAAACTAATATTATTCTGATTACTTCGTGTTTTTTATTATTTTATCTACATACGCTCGACGATTCGGTTACTTTTCATCAACCCTGATCACGAAGAAGTGTATGATCATGGTTGCTGAAAAGTTATCGAAATATCGGGAGGGCGCAGTTTATTTTCTACGAAAATGAAGCACACTTAGTATATCCGAATAATATTAGTTTCATTTAAACCTCACTACGTGTTTAATTACTATATTAATATAATATATCTGGTTTCCAGGCCTTGGACCCTAAGACGGTGGAAGTTGGTACGATTACATACCCAGCCGGCGAGGGGCTTAGCGATGATACTATATATGTGACACCTACACAACTGGCAAAGTGAGTAAAATATTATATTTATTGATATAGTTATAAGGAATTATTTTACTTTACTGCAGTTAAAACATGTGCTGTCTCGACCAGAGAATACCACACTCTCATAGATAAGTGTGAAGTAGCCTTTAATGGCTGCGTTTCGTATGATGAGTGAGAGAGACAGTTACCCAACCTTTCGCTCTTCCTCAAAAGTCAAGGTTGACAACGCATTGGCAACATTTATTAACTCATATCTTTCATCTAGTAGGCCGTCTGCTCGTTTGCCAAATAAAATATATATTACAACTGAAAGTGTCATACATACTTACATATATATAATGATGCTAAATCTCTCTTCATCACCAGGTTGCGAGAGATAGTCACCGAGCTCCAATCAGATGACGTTCAGCTCGACCTCAAGCCTCTGGACACCACCGTGTGCGCAGCTTGAACACACACACACACACACACGTACGAGTGTGTGTAACACATACATATAACAAGTAGCAACGATATTTGAATTCCATATAATGAGCGTGTGTGCGTGATAGGCGGGGTCGCCGTGACAACTGTTGCTATGGCGACCGAATATTGTTACTGTTGTGGCGCGAATGCCGAATGACGGTTGTCAAGAGAGCTGTCAAGCCGTCGCCATGGCAACGGTTGTCATGGCAACCGGGCGACATATGTCAGTGTGACAGATGACGTTATTTAGATATTTGTTGAGTTGCATATGTGTGTGTAACATGAGTATTATCACGCACACATTTGAACGTCATATATAAACATGAATATTCCCTTGTTATTTCATGTTCTTAGTAAAATTTGTCCAGTCGAAGTATGTATTGATGAGTAAATTACATTTTAAAGTTCTTTAATATATAAAATAACATTATACAATACTAATTTGGTTGAGAATCTTTGAAAATTTGTATTGTATTGACAATGGACTATAAAAATTAATAACTAGATATATACTGAAGTATGTCTGCATCTAACACTAAACTGCATTAAATCTCGGCTGAATACATAACACCATGTACATAATGTATCATAAAATAAAAAAAATCATTTATTTCAAAAACATATAAAAACTTTTTGCTAACTTTAGTCTTAAATCCTTATATTAATCCCTTAATGTGATATCCATCTCTAAGTTAACCTTATTTAGTATTAAAACATTATCAATTTAATATTAGTAGGAGAAATACTTTAATTTCATGAAAATTATTTAATTTCTCTTTAATATATTAAGTGAATGTCTCACTCACTATAGTTGATGTAGTGATGATTCTTGAGATGTAATAAAGGCTTATTTATTATATATTGTTTTATTTCAACTTCCTTATTAAGAAATAATGAAATATTCCAGAATTTGCACCAATACAAAATCTCAGAGGATATTTATGCGGCCTACAGACCAGATGTATTTATGAATTCTCTTTATATTTTTTGTATTGAAAGGATGTTGGTGTATAGAACAGTGATTTGGTAGGAGAAGTATAAATATAAATTATGTCTACTTATTCGAAAATATTAACTAACCTTACTCATTCTCAAATTACATTTAAAACCAAAATCCATTCTTACCACACAAGGAACAGATATAACTTAGAAACACCTAAAAATCGAACCAAGCACAGCATTAAAACTATTTCATTTGAAGGAGCACAGCTGTATAATTCTTTGCCTCTAAGTGTTGTCAATTCAAAATCTCTAAATATATTTAAAAAACTATTAAGAACCCATAAATTAGATGATTTCACTGATCTTGTTTAATATCACTAATGTTATTCGTTATGTCTATTGGGGTGTGTTTTGAGAGACAGGCGTCAAGTAAGCTTCTGATACTGGTTTTCTGTTGACATATTATGGCAGAGTTAAGAATTGGGTGAATTAAGAAGAATTGGAACGATTTAGAGACGATTAGCGTGTATGGCCTTAAACAAGGATGACACGTAAAATAGTTAAGTGTTAATCATATTTATCGCGGTCAAGTGATGTTGAGAGTAATGGTTAGTTATTCTAGTAGATAAATTAGGAGGTAGCATGCTTGATTAAAGCTCCACATCACCACTCAAGTCATAAGCTTTGATGGAGGGAATATTTTTACATTAAATGTCGATGCTTGAGGTGAGTAGAACCATGGGTAGTGTTTTCGAAGCTTGCATATAATATATTGCACAATTAAAGCAGTGTATAAGGGAGAACTTCTTAATTTCTTATTGTCTATGTGGGCAATGTAGTTTGATGTTCTAGTGAGGATAGTATATGAGCTTGATTGATTTTCCTTTCGATATATGTGTAGGTAATGAGCAACAGCATATTTTAAACTGCGCCTTTTTCTATAAGGACTGTGCTATACATGTGTTTGGTTATAAGGACTGCTGTATATGTATATTTACACTTGCTGCGTTTTAAAGCAGAAAATATTGCGTGTATATTACATATATTCAGGGTCCTGGTGTAAGATGGTAAATATCAATATCAGATTTTCCGGATATATATCAAGGCTTATCACCTTGAATTGGAACATAATTTTTAGGAGACGTGTAGATAATGACCCTGAGCAAGCTTAGCAGAGCTATCATACTCATTTTAGGTGTAACACTCGATGTGCAGATTTTAAAAGCGGCTGGCGTAGTTGTTGCATATTCTTTCCTGAAGGAGATTCTTTTGCGATAGACCTGGATTCTTTTTGCGGGAGTTAGAAGTTTGTTTGGTAGTTATCAGAATAGTTTGACCAGTGCGGGCGACGAAAGAAGCTGGGTTGAAGGTTTTAGGAATAGTACGTAAGTTTTGTATTATGCATGATAATCCATCTACTGGGAGTTTATAGCAAGTGAAAAGGCGTAGCACTTTTTAGAGTCTATCAATTCAAAGAAAACGATGACGGTGATTTTATTTGGAGTTGGGAGGCGGCATGATAGTAAGTTGTGACAATTCAGGGCATGATCAAGAAAATTAATGTAATGTAAACCATGATCATTGTTTCGTTTTGGGTCTGGAATGCCGCTGCTGAAGTCGTGTCAAGGAGCCAGTAATAATGGAAGATTATGACAGCTAAGCATTCAAAACAATCGTCTTTCTTCTCAATATATGTAATGTATAGAAGTCAGTGGTGGCCTAATGGTTAAGGGGCCCGCCTCTAGTCACCGAGGGCGCGGGTTCGATCCTGACCCTGGCAAGTACCAATGTGATTTTTCTGAGTCATATGTACTTTCTAAGAATATTTAGACATCACTGATTAATGCATTCCCAAAAGAGGGTTGATATCAGGCAGGCGGCCAGTCGTAAAAACAATTAGCCAAAAAAACTATTCACAAAGGCAGACCCTGGCTATAGCCGGGAAATTGCCAGGTAGAAGGATATGTAATGTATAAATATGGATGACACTCCTAGACTTCTTCCTTGTAATGATGAAGAGGATATAGTAGTAACTTGTGGTACAAGTTGGTGATAAGATCTTGAGATAGAAAAAGAAAATGTTGATAAATTATGAAGACATGTTTAAATGTAATTAATATTTTCGTATTACTACGTGTTTTTTATTATTTTAACTACATACTCTCGACGTTTCGGTTACTTTATAGCAACCGTGATCATTAAGACGAGATTATTTTTTACTTTACCAAATCTGAATAAAATGAGAAAATTTAATTAATTATTTATTTTAGGAACTGATAGACCGAACGTGTGTATATTCAGGTTGATTCTAGGAATAAACAATATTAAGGAAACTTGTTTATGGTTTTATATGTTACAAATATTATTGGGCAAATTAGCAGTTAATTAAAAATATGATAAATTTCGACCGTATAATCTGATTCACGAATGGTTTTCACGTAAATTTATTGTCAAAACGAGATAACTAAATTAAAAAGGATAATATACGCACCATTTAAACTGTAATAATTCTTCAAGACTATATTTTGGTCTTTTTTTCAATCCTATGTCCTCCAGTTTGGGCAGAAGGCGTTCAAAGTACGCCAACATCTCATTTGCTCTTGAGCTTCGCCTTTGATGTCGTTCAAGTCTTCCTAACTTAGCGTTCCAGCAAAAAAGCAAACCTTGGTGATTTTATAATTATTGTAGACACTAAAATACTTGTATATTTAAAATTCTAAAGCAACCGAAATGATTTTCTTACACTATAAATTATACTAAGGTATAATTATGGGATGAAAAATTCTGACCGTATGACGAGTATCTTCTACCTGGCAATTTCCCAGCTTTAGCCAGAGTCTGCCTTACATGTTAATAGATTTGGCTAATTGTTTTTACCGGCCGCCTGCCTGACATCAACCCTCTTTGGAAATGCATTAAGTGAAGAGTTTATATATGTATAAAAACTTTTAGGTGTCTGAAAATATTTATATTACGATGTACCGTAGGAGTGGTGATAAAGAGTATGGTAAGGTTAAATATTTATTAAAAATCACAAGTTTTATTTAATATTCTCCATTTTTTAAGTTTCTTTATCGACAGGACTGTCGAGTTTATTTATTTATTTAATTAAGAGACAACTTTTAAGGTATGGCATGGTTATAATACTGTAAATGAAATTACGAACATTTTTTCGTTGTTTTTTTTTATTTTTTAACTAAATAAACAGTTTATATTATTCCTATTGTTATGATAATCTTCATACAAAAAATATTGTTAAATATTTCATCATTCTAATTTTTTATTTATTTTACGAATCCATATTCAATTATAAATGCTAAAGTAGCTCTGTCTGTATGTTACTTTTTCACGTCTAAATCGCTGAGCCGATTGTGATGAATTTTTGTATAGAGATAGATGGGACCTTGGAGACGGACATAGGCTACCTTATCCCGAAACTACACTGGTGGAACTATGAAGTGCAGTTCATGTTCAGTGGCCGTAGTGACAGAGAATAACTTTGTTTTTCACGCAGACAGAGTCGCGGGAAAAAGCTAGTTTATATTGTAATTTTGAACATTGGGTAGAAGTTCAAATGAGTTTATATAATGGAATAATGGACTATGGATATTTATTTTATATTAGACTTAAATAAATTAAAAGAATTGTTATTTGTCAAATCAGTAAAAAAGCGACTTAAGTTCAAGCTATAAGTAAAAGATATTATTAAATAAAAGTTATAATCATATATTTTATAACACAGACAAATTAACTGGTCGATTTAGGGCTATTTTTTACTTTTTAATAATGATTATTGCATTATATCGGTATTTTATAAGATTTAAGTGACTAATATTATGATACAAAGTTTTTTAACAAACTATATTTTCTTCATTTTGACTGATATATAAATATATGTATATACTAATATATAACATTAGGCAGACCCTGGCTAAAGCTGGGAAATTGCCAAGAGATATAACATGTGCTCTTTTCATTTATTTATATACATATTTTTTGTATAAATGAAACTAATATTTTAGGATTTATTACACGATTTTTTAT